CCTACAAGCACCAAGTTGGCGGTCACACCACGCTTTGGCGCTTTTCCAAGAGAGCTGTCTGCAAACAGCTCAATAATCGGGAGAATGAGTTTTACGAAAATGTGGAACAGGACCATCCTGATTTGCTCTCATTCCTCCCACGGTACATTGGGGTTCTTAACGTAACCTTCCATAAGCAACCCCGGCGCAAGTCGACCCACAGGCGTGACGATGCTCCCCTGCTGGAGCGGAAGCCGACCGGAGACGTTGGGGCTACAGCCTCAGCGGACGCGACCAAATCCAACGGATCCAACGGTGCGTTTCAGCCGAGTCAAGAGCACCGCCGCATCATCAGCCAGTCGCTCTCGTCCGCTCCTGAGCCAATTCCGACAGTGACCTTTGACGACAACTGGCATATCTTACCCCGGAACCTCCTGCAACCGACGCCTCCTCCAGTCGCCATACCGACGCGGGGTCGAAGCACATCTTCTGCAGGTCTTCCCGACAACCCTGAGCAGAGCAAAATGGCGTCCCCAACCAGGCCCAGCCTGGATGACAGGCACGCGAACAGCTGGGGTGCAACTACCGTCAACAAGCGACTGCGCAATGAGGTGTTCAATGACGTCTTCTTGAAGCAGCCGATTCCGATTCACAAGCATCGCCGCCCCCATCAAAAGTCGATGGCTTTCCGTAAGCAGCCGACATTGAGGCCAGCTAGCTCTGTACCCGACCTAGTCCGCAGACAGGATCCGTCTGCCGTAGAAGGTCACGCACCTCAAAAGCCTAGCCCGCTTCGGCCCAGCAGCTCCTCGCCGCCACCCACAGAGAGCATTGCCATGGAGCGCCCGAGTCATCTCGAGGCTGCCGAGGCAGAGGCCGAAGATAGCGATGTCAAGGACGTCACAGGCACCAGTGCACCGGAGCCGGAGACTCTTGCGGATAAGATTATTGCTCAAAAGAAGAAGAGACGCTATTCTGGAACAGGTCTCCGACGGAAGCCACGAACAGTGACGGAGTCTAGAGGACATCTCAAGTACTGGGAAGAGGCGGATGACGCCGGCTATAGAGGTGAAGACGAAGGCGGGCAGTCCCTCATCACGTCCCAAGTGAACTCGCCCATGATCGAAGCGCCAAGCACGAATGGCACAAACGCCAGTGATGGTGCCGCGAAAGAACTGAGTCTCCCAGTGCCTGCTGCCGATGCATCTCAAGCCGAAGTCCCGACCGAAGCTGAGCACTCTACGTATGCGTCGACTGTCCCGTCCGAGGTGCCTAGCCCTACCCAAGAGTTCCGCAGAATCCCGCGACCCGTGAATCCGAAGGAAGCACAAACGCAGAGAGACTCCCGCGTCGAGTATTTCCTTCTGCTGGAAGATCTCACAGCAGGCATGAAACGGCCCTGTATCATGGACCTAAAGATGGGCACCAGACAGTACGGCGTTGAGGCCACCCCCAAGAAGCAAAAGTCGCAGCAGGGCAAGTGTGCCCGGACAACCTCGCGTGAGCTCGGCGTGCGTGTATGCGGACTTCAGGTCTGGGATGTCAAGAGCCAGAGCTACGTCTTCAAGGACAAGTACTTTGGACGTGACCTCAAAGCCGGCCAAGAGTTCCAGGACGCTTTGACGCGATTCTTATATGACGGCGTTGACTACGCCAGCATTTTGCGGCATATCCCGACTATCCTGCAAAAGCTGGATCACCTCGAGTCGATCGTCCGAGGACTGGATGGCTACCGATTTTACGCCGCCAGTCTCCTCATGTTTTACGACGGCGACACGACCAACGAGGGTAATGAATACGATACAGTCGTTGACGATTCCACGACTGACTTTGCGACCGACACGGAGGAGACGTCGGCGCTGCGCGAGAAGAAGAAGCAGAAGAAGAAGCGCGGCATCGACTTCAAGATTGCCGACTTTGCAAATAGCCTGACCAAGGGCGACCTTGCAGAGGGAAAGCCTTGTCCGCCGCGGCATCCCAACGAGCCGGACCGTGGCTTCCTCCGAGGTCTTCGAACGTTGAGGAAGTATTTCCTCAAGATCCAGAAGGATATTCGCGCTGAGATGGGTCCGGACTGTCACGGACGAGGTCATAGGATGGATGAGGATGATATTGACATTGATCACGTCTCGGATGAGGAGGGGTCTGTTAGCGAATGATTTGGAGGGAAGGGAGAGGGGGAAGTGTCTCTTTTCTTCACGTTGATAATTTAGGAAACTCCTTTTATTCTGGCTTGGGGATGTGTGGTTTTCGTTTTCTTTTTCTTCATGGGATGGGAATGGGAATTGGGGGTTTCGGCGGAGTCAGGGACGGCATTTGACAACATACCCGGCATCGGTTCGGCGTCACAATACAGATTAAGGCAACTGAGATGTTTTGTACTTCACTTTGTTTCTCTGTCTCTCTCTTGAGCTTGAGCTTGAGTTGTGATTGCTGCAAATATGTGCGGTGTCTGACGTGAGTGCTGTGCGAGAGGTTGTGATGGTTGCTGATGAGGAACGCCATGATGTGTGTCGTTGGGGAAGGTCTGGGGGGAGCTTCATCGTTTCGGGCAGTGTGAAGGCGTTGTGTCCTCATTTGCTTACGGCTTAGGTTTAGACACCAAGGTAGACAAAAATGAGTAGATTCTATCCACACACTCGCCTCAATTCCGTACTTTTCCTTACCATACCTTGATAGCTCTCCGTTTCAATGAGGGGAATGTCCAGTTCGAGTGATGGAGAAAAGTTAGTCAACGCCACGCCACGGTCCCTTCCAGGTCGTTGCGTGTGTTTCCGAGTGTGCCGGGTTGCCGGCCGCTTGAGGTCCGGGTGTCTTATGTAAGCTTCCGACGTCAACGAAGTATAATACCCCGGGGAGGGACTGCTTAAATCGGCACTTTGGAGTCTGGATACATGGCCGTGTACGGTTTCATCCAATATCCCGTGACGAACTTGATCAGTGCTCTCATCCATTTGAATCCTAGTAGGATTCCCTGTCATCGTGTATTATTGTACCAGAGAAACTGGTGCATCAACACCATCATACGTCGTCGCATGCTCAACATCCTCACTCCCTCGTCACTCATAAGATAAAAATCATCCGTACTCCCCCTTTGCATTTTCAAAGAGGGCAAGAAAAAAAAAAGGGGGCACAACGCAGAAATGGGCTCCATCCTCTCCTCCCTCCGCGGCGCAACAAAAACCGTCACCGCCGTAGCAAAGCTCCTCCTGGACCTGAACAAGACATACCAAGCCCTCCTCTCCCGCGTCAACGCCCCTCCCGGCCTCCCGCACGCGAAACCTTCGGACCCGTATTGGCTCGACGACCCGCCGTTTCCGGAGCTCGTGGATGCGCAGTCGGAGAGACTGCCTGCTGAGGCGGATGTCGTTATTATCGGGAGTGGAATTACGGCGGCGGCGGTGGCCAGGGGGCTGTATATCGCTGCTGCGACAGATGTATCGGATGGAGAAGGGAAGAAGGGGCCTAGGGTTGTGGTGCTTGAGGCGAGGAGGTTATGTGCTGGTGCGACGGGGCGGAATGGAGGACATGTGAAAGCGAGTCCGCATGAGTTGTTCACGAAGCTGGCGCGATATTTCGGAAAAGAGGGCGCGGCGAGGTTGACGAGGTTTGCGTTGAGGACCGCGGAGGCCGTGTTGGAGGTTGGTGGGGAGAAGGGGAGGGAGGTGAGCGAGTGTAGACGCGTCGAGACGGTAGATTTCTTCCTCGATGATAAGGGGTTCGAGGAGGGGAAGAAGGGGGCGGAGGAGTTGAGGCGGTGGGTGCCCGAGGTGGACATTGCGGTGCTGGGGCGGGAGGAGACGGAGGCAAGGTTTGGGGTTGAGGGAGGGCATGTTAGTGGTGGCTTGGTGTATTCTGCCGGTGCGATGTGGCCGTATCGGCTTGTGGCAAAGATTTGGAAAGAGTTGGTGGATGAGTTTGCGGGGAGGTTGAGCTTGGAGATGAATACGCCTGTTGAGGGGGTTGAGGTTGATGGCGAGGGGGGTGAGAGGCCGTATGTTGTTAGGACTGGGAGGGGGGTTATTCGGGCGAGACATGTTGTTCATGCTACGAATGCGCATGCGGGACAGTTTTTGCCGGGGTTGAGGGGGAAGATGGCGGGTGTGAAGGCGCATATGACGGCTCAGCGACCCTCGACGACGACGACGACATCCTCGGGGCAAAGTAATCAACAAGCAGAGGAAGGAGAAGGCTTCCAGTGGCCGGATAACAGCCGCACGGGAAGTAAATCATGGAGTATCCTCTACGGCAGCGGCGCCTTTGACTACGTCACGCAGCGGCCTAACGGGGACGTGATGCTCGGCGGCGGATTTGCAAGAAGCGCGGACGAGGGCGTGGACATGGTTGGCGTGTATGACGACTCTGGGACGGATGGGATGACGATTGCGCATGTCTCCGGGGTCATGAGTGCTGTCTTTGGGGCGCGGTGGAGGGGCGATGTGGTGAGAGTTTGGAGTGGTGTTTTGGGTGTTACGGGTGACATGGCGCCTTTTGTTGGGCGGGCTCCTGCTAGTGTTGTTGGGGTTAAGGGGAAGAAGGACTCTGTTTCTTCTTCTTCGTCTTTGTCTTCTTGGTTTGGATTGAAGAAGGGGAGGGAGAGTGTGAAGGTGAAGAAGGTCGGGAAGACGGTTGATGAGATGGAGGAGGAGCATCCGTGGATGGGGGCCGAGGCGGGACAGTGGGTTAGTGCTGGGTATTGCGGTGATGGTATGGTTTGGGCTTGGCTTTGTGGCACGGCGTTGGGGATAATGGTTGCGGGTAAGGAGGATGTTGTGCTCGAGAAAGGGGTTGGGTTTCCTGGGGGCCGGCTGGGAGAGTGGTTTCCCAAGGAGTTGTTGCTTACGGAGGCAAGGTTGAAGAAGGCTGATCTGAGTAATTTGGTGGATGAGATATGATGGATGTAAATGGCACATCGTTCCGCCGAGTAATATGATTAATCTAGATACTCTCTCCTACGTATCCTATTGAATACACACTGGCCATCAAGGACCAAAATGAAAAGCGACAAAAGGGAGTTTCGAACTGGCAAAATGACAGAATACGACTGCTACAACGGGACACTGGGCGCGGTAGTCTCAGATTGATTTCGGTTTGCGATCCGTGGAGGAGTAGGCGCACTCTAGATCACTCGGCAAGAGTGCTGGCGGCAGGCTCTTGACCACCCCGACAGACATTCCAACTTGATGGGCTATCGAGGGTGTGTAGTGGACCGTGGATTAAAGGTCTCAAGCAAACTTGATGAATTCCTCGCTTTGTTGGGAGGTGTCCGCCATTACCAGTACCTTCAAACTGATGTTACCTTGCCATCCTGTACCAAAGATATCTAGCTGTCGGGTCGTCTCAAACCGCCCAGAAAAGTCACTCTCAGCGATGTGGTACAATCCCTTTCTTCATGCTTCACTATTATACAACTTTCCTGGGCTCATCTAACACTATGGAATCAAGAGCCTTCTGACTGTATTTGAAGAAACACCATCAATACTGCCGCGTATCTATACTCACGTTAGCTGGGAAATTTCGATAGGGGGGCGGAGGGAATCATACGCTGCAGTGGCGCCCAGCGCTTCAAAAGGTTTCGCTACCATGGCCAGGGATAGAACGAGTAGGAAGACAAATATGAAGGCCGTGATGACTGCGAGTTTTGCCTTCAGATCCGTCAGTGCCTGAAGGATCCATATTGGCGTGATGAGCATCAAGACTCCGACAGCAATTATGACTGCTGAAGCGAAACTGTCCATTCGTTTGTCGGAATAGTGAGAGACGTCTTCTTTGTCGTAAGTCTCGCCTTCATTCTCTCTATGTCTCCATAGGGGAAGTGTTCGCAAACGAAGGGATCCGTCGATGACTTGTCGCAAGGGTGTCTTTTCTTTTTGGGCCAAAGCTACGAGATCATTTTTGTGATTCAAATAGTCTTGCTCCACTGTTGCAATAGCTTCGTTGCCGTGGTTTTCATGCCAGTGCAAGTGGTTTTTGATGTCCCGCCGCGGTGCTTTAGACAGAGTCCGAAGAGTACGTTGTTGTATCAAGAATTCATCTAATTGCCATCAGTCAAAAGTACGGCTACAGCTTCGACGGGAAATATAGGTTACTGTATTTCACCAGTTTCTTTGAAAGTGCTACGATCAGGTCGGTACGCTCTTCCACATCTTGCCTGATAGTACCGTTGTTGAAGTCAAGGGCGCTTATCTTGCTGAGTGCATTGTCCATTTCTTCCAGCTCTTGTTCAAGTTCTGATATTTCATCCTGGAGTGCCAGTCCGACGCGCACATTGAGCGAGTCGAACCTGCGAAGAAGAAAGAAGTCATCTTCCGATGCTATAAACTTTGTATACCCTTTGTAGCCGATGTATTTCCACGGTTTCTTGTCTACATCTCCCGTAGTAGGAATTCTTTTCCCTACTCCTGCGGAAACTTCATGTTCGACTTGTGTATTCAAGCAATGGGGTGAAGGCACTGACTCTGAAGATTGATGTATCGGCGGGTTCGAAACCATGACTGCTGAGAAGTTCTGGTGATTGCTGTATCAATGAGCAAAAGCTGAGGGCGGCGGGAAGACTGCGTTCTTTGTGGCGGAACAGAGGAGTAGATGAATCGGGGTTGGCAAGGCAAAGTCGGGCGACTAGTCGTGGCTAATCCGTAGCCAGTCATCTGCTAATGTAAGAATGCCTATTGAGGAAGACCTCGAGATTGGCTGCACTCCCCGAAACAGCCTATGCACTTCGCCCGTCAGGCAGCATCGAATTTTTCCATAAGCGCTGGGGTTGAACAAGGCAGACCGACGCCTTATGAACCGCCAACCGGGGCGGACCATAGACAACTCACAGAACGCGGCTCTTCGTCGTACATAAGTCACCTCTTTGAACTGCCCGATGCTTTGAGGGATCGTCTTCCTAACTTCACTTTCGCTCAAGACTTCGGAACTTGTTTCGTATTTTTGCCTCACATACACTCAGCGCCAATTCAGGGCAAAAGTTCCACTAGTACTCCTCATGAAACCAGCCATCATGGAGCCCTTCATAGGCTCTGAAATCCCACAACGCCAAACCCAACTCTTCAAACCGCCTTTGAAGAAGAGACCGTTTGTCAACCCAGAAACCCAACAAGATCAATCGGATAGCTTGGACGTCGCACATGTTCAATCCCATTCTCCTCAACAATCTTCGGAACGAAAACCCACTGTCAATGCAGCAGTCCAACGAGACCAAGTCGCGCTGCCCACCAAGCCAGAAAAGACTCGAGAAGTTCTCGGGAATGTGCAACACAGAGAAGGCGGAACGCCAAGACCTCATCCTCCCCCGAGCCGGCAACCACCCATTGATTCGTCCATGAAGATTCGATACAGAAAAAGGAGAGGGATATCCAAAAAGCAATTGGGTAACAACGAAGATAGCGACTCGGACTCGGACTCGGACTCAGGCCGCCATGTCGACAATGAGGCCTCTACCGCAGCTTTACGGAAGCAAAATGTCGAGGATACAGCTATGCACGACGAAAACCTAGCAGATCGCGAGGCAATGGAACGAGAAAACCAGGCGAGGATGGAGCTTTTTCAAGTGTTGAAGAATGTTGGTGCCAAATGGGATGACGTGAGCCATATCCGCAGGAGCCACCGGAAGAACGGAGAATTCAGAAGAGAGCAGCTCCTGCGTCGACACTGGAAGGAGAGAGACGACGCACATGCACAGTTGATGCGTTCGAACGCGGCAGATCCCCAGGCTCTGCAAGAGTTTCACAATTATTACGACAATACGACTCGACTGAACAACCTCCACGAACAAATCAAGGAATGGAACTACAAACGGCAAGACTGCCTCGACGGTGCACTCTACGGTGCTATTGAAGAAAGACTTCGTGAGCACGGTCCGGAAACGAAGCCGACCAAGACATTGGAGGAGATCCTTCTTCATGTCGAGTCAGATCTTATCGAATCTTTCGGGGCCTTCGATCGCCCTTGGCGTGCTTGGGGTCTTCAGCCCTACCAGAGAACCAAACCCGATCCTCCCCTCCATGATATGTCTTCTAAAAGACAGTTTCTCAATCGGGACGTAGTCCCACACGAGCGCCTTGCTAAAATCCTTGGCGAGATGTACCTGGAATGGTGGGTTGAGTTGGCCAGCGACCCCAGTGTACCTCAAGTCAACCTGCGAGAGACCATCACTGCTCGTCTAAACATCAATTACCAATCTCAGAGACGTTCGGACCAACTTTCGCAGATACGGAGTTTCTTCGTCATGCCATACATCAGCAGGATCGGTGCCGGTATGTCCCGTGCATTGGAAGATGCTTTGGCAACAGGAACCGATCCCAGAGCCGTAAGGCATGACTTTCCGGACCACGTAGACGTCATTCAGCGTGTCAAAACATCGCGTACGAAGTGGGGATCAAGCCTCTCAGACCAGTACATGGACTGGATGACCTCCAGCTTCTGTGCTGAATACCTCGAAGAGATCTGCAAGAGCTGGGAAGTAGTTCTCAGGAAGGAAACGTGCTATACATACCGGAAGACCATGGCATCGATAGTCGACATTCGACAAGAGTTCTGTCCTGGTATACGAAAGCGCGGAATTGTTTCTCTGGTTCTCTTGAAAGGAGGTTATCCTGCGTCCATCAAGGACGTGTCTGCAACAGAACTACAGAGTATGGGCTGGTTTGAAGATGTAAATGGGGCGTACTGGCGGTACGAGTACGAAAGTGCCTATTCGAGAGGCACAAAGGCAGGAGAGAAGGCCATATATCGCGTTACTATGGAAGGGGAAGTTTTGGGTATGCTTTCGCCGAACGGCAACTTGATCGGCTGGGAGGACCGTAATGAAGTGCGAGAAGACGTGGTTCTGAGGGGCTGGCTCAGTAATCATTACGCAACCTGATGGCTTCTTCATAATGTTGGACGGACTGTAGAGGAATACGACGTCGATAGGAGCCAATTTCGAGTTGTCATAGTGAACTCTACCCGAACTACTTGGGAAGGGACTTGTTGTCTGTCAAAGCCTGTGCTTTGCCCGGGGTATCATGAGCTAAGCTTTGTGACATATTCAGTGAGACTCTTCTGCAACACCAAGGTAACGTATGGCACCTTTCTGGTTAAGGATTGAAGGGCCAGATCCAGGGAGGACTTGTCTTTTGATAACGACGTCTTCCTCCCCTCAATAGGTAGTAGGCAACCCCAAGATCGACAATTCGCAACAGATACAAGCATCCCGCCCAAAGTCGCCAAAAGCCAGGGGCCAGGGGTCCCCGAGGCCCACTTGCGACGGCCTAAACCTGGAAGCTCACGCGAACTTGCCGAACCGTGGAGCTCCTCCTCCTCCTCCTCCCGGGGTGTTGTTCCAATTCTCAGCTTCGGGGTCCGCCCACCCTGCTGCTGCGGGGTAGCTAACACAATGACATCCCCTCCTCCCCTCCGCTGGCGTCCGCGTCGTGGGGCCTTCTTACCTTCAATAGCGCCCTTCGCTCGGCGTTTGAATCACCTCATTCTCAAACTGGAGTCCTTCAGCCCATAATTCTTTTTTTATTTATCCTCTTCTTCATCGGCCCGCTCGCCCATTTCAAATCCCGTCACTCCGCGGGAAACTGCATTATTATCTAAATACCTCTAGTCACCGCTCCAGCTGAATTGACTCACAGTGTACATATCCATACAGCTCGGATATCATCGCTTCAAGCATTCCCGCTGGACCCTGTTCATCAACGACTCCAAACCGAGCATCCCGCACTCAAAATCTCACCACTTACAACCACCACCAACATCACCACCATCACCACCCTCCCCATACAACAGCCCAAAATGCCTCCAATCCGCCTCGCAACAGCATCCCCCGCAACAGCCCCAACAACATCCCAAACCCTCTCCGACATCGCCTCCCTCGCCCACCGCGCCTCCTCCTCCAACGCAGACCTCCTCCTCCTGCCCGAAGCCTACCTCGGCGCAGGCTACCCCCGCGGCGCCTCCTTCGGCTCCAAAATCGGCTCCCGCGCCCCCGAGGGCCGCGACGAGTTCCTCGCCTACTTCAACGCCGCCGTCGACCTCGGCGACACCGTCGGCGACGCGGGCGCGGGGGGCGGCGACAAGTGGGTGAAGAAGCAGCTCCCCGCGCAGCACGATGCCGCCGGCGCCAAAATCGAGAGGGGCGATGGGTCCAGAGAGGAACTGGAGAAGATTGCCGCGCAGACGGGCGTCTTCCTCGTCGTCGGGTGCATTGAGCGCGCCGGCGGGAGCTTGTACTGCGCCGTTGTCTACGTCTGTCCCAAGCTGGGCATGATTGGAAAGAGACGCAAAGTGATGCCCGTACGTCTTTCCTTCCCTTTCGCGCTCCTATTCCCACCCATGATACCCCCCTCCAAGACTCACTAGCATGACTCTCACAAAAAAAAAAGACCGCAACAGAACGCCTCATCTGGGCCCAAGGCTCTCCCGCAACCCTCCGCGCCGTCTCGACAACAATCAAGGGCGTCCGCATCAACCTCGCCGCCGCAATCTGCTGGGAGAGCTACATGCCCCTCCTCCGCCAATCCCTCTACGCCCAAAACATCAACCTCTACCTCGCTCCCACCGCAGACGGCCGCGACACCTGGCTGCCCCTCATGCGCACCGTCGCCTGCGAGGGCCGCTGCTTCGTCGTCTCCTCCAACATGGCCGCCAGGCCCCTTGTCTCATCCTCACCATCAACAACGACGACGACGCAGGCGCAAAACAACAACAACAACAACGACAGCGGCATCGAAGACGCAGAAGACGCCCAGATTTACCCCCCGCGCGCGCGCCGCAACTCGTGCTTCACAGAAGACGGCAACGAAATCGCTCTCCCCGGCAACGGCACCAGCACCAGCACCAGCACCAACGGCACAACCCCCGCACCCAAGGCCAAAACGACCTCGAAACCGGCCCTCAAATCAGAAGACTGGGTCTCCCGCGGCGGCTCCTCCATCGTCGGCCCCTTTGGCGACGTCCTCGCCGGACCGCAGTGGGAGGACGACGAGGGCATCATTTACGCCGACGTCGATTTTGAAGACTGCATTCGCGGACGGTTGGACATTGACGTTGGAGGAAGCTATTCGCGCAACGACTCCTTCAAGTTTTCCGTCGAGGGCTTGGATCTGGACCCCTTGCCGTATTAAACCATGCTGTCGAGTGGGTAGTCTGCTGCCAAAGTAAGTACTTGTCAAGACTGTCATGTAAGTAATCACCAAACTCGATAATTGGGTAATCATTGGCAAAAAATCAAAATCAAAAAGTACGATAATCAGACCTCGTTCGTAATGCATGTATTTCCGTCAATGCTCGACTCACGGCTAACTGGCTGCGTATGAGCCACGTGAGGGTAATATCCATGAAACCCTCCCCAATCCCAAACCCCAAACCATCCCAGTTCCCCCTCCTATGATGCCAGCCAAACACCCAAGTCCCAGACTCATTAATGCGAGAAAATGGTCGTGAATAGTAATGAAACATCGTATTTAGCGCTCCTCGTCTTCCTTGCCCCGATTCGTGCCATCGCCCCTGTCTTCTATTTCGCTCTTTTCCGAAGTCTCTCGTGGACTAGTCAACGGACTGGTCACGCCACCAATACTCCCGCTGATGCTGTCAGACCGCCCGTGGCCTAACAGCCCGCTCCGGACGCTCCCTCCATCCCCAGTGCCGCTCTGCTTCGCATAAAAGCTGTTTCGGTCGCCAGGAATGGCGGGGGCGACACCAGTAGCCGAGTATATACTAGTGCGTTCGGCGTTGGCTATGCGCGAGCTACTTTGGTGAAGCCCCGGAGTTGTCGGCATTCCCGCGCCCTGTTCGATGTTGGCGCTTAGGACGCTCAGAGGAAGGCTTTCCCGACTGCCGCCCCAGAGGGAGGAAGGGGCCAAGGCACGGACAGAGGCATCGGTATCTAACGAGCGACGGCGACGGCGTTGCGACGAAGAAGCAAGGGTAATAATGGATGCGTTGTCGGTAAGCAAGTTGTTGGCCGTGGCCGTGGTATATGTTTGAGGATTGCCAGAGGCCGAGCCCGCAGGCGCAAGATGAGCGGGGATGGCAGACGCGGGCGGTGCAGTTGGGAATGGTTGGTTGAAATGAATCGATTGGGTGTGACCCTGGTGCGATGTGTGATTGCCGTTGTTGGTCGGGTTCGTTGGGACATGGGTGCCGCCGTTATTTGGCGTCATGGACTGTATTGTGGTCAAGGTGGTCGTCAATGACCGCACTGACGGTGCTGGGGATGAAAATGTGCTGTCTCCTCCTCTGCGAGACTCAACACCGCCAATCGTTCGACTCGTGCCGGCTACAGATGGAGCACCGTGGGAGGGGGCGACTACGGAATGGGCGCCATCGTGATCAGTGGAAATCGTGGGGGCCATGGACCTTGCGCCGGCGGTGGGTGGGGCGCGGCCATCTTCGGAGGACATTCGAGAAGACATGCGAGAGGATCGTTCGATGGAAGTTGCGCTCCCGCTCAGAGCGGTTGAGAATGAATAGGAACTGGTCTCGACGTCGACATCGGCATGGCTCGCGGAGCCTACTCGGCCTGACTGAGGATAGGGGTTATTGTTCTTGGAGGCTCGCATCTTTGCGTGAAGTTTCGCCTGCTGGCGCTTGGAGCTGGGAAGGCGAACGCCACCTCCATCGCTCGAGGATGAGCTTTTGAAGTTGGTGAGCTTCTTGACCCATGTGGAAAAGGGGCGGCGGCGACCTGCACGATCGGGGCGATCTACTATGTTGTCAGTATCTTGTGCGGTTGAGGCGATTGGCCACCCGGCGTGGGCTGGAGCTGCTGCCGAAGGATTGCGCCTTGTGCAGACGGCAGCCGCGGCGACAAAGCAGATGCGAACAGAAGGTAGGTTGTAATTACCGTGCGGCTGCAGCGCGGCCTCGGTTGTAGCCATTCGGTCGTCTTGCAGGGCTAGTTTTTGTCGCAGGAGAGTGTCTGCCGGGAATCGTTCAGAAAGGGGTATCGGTGGAAGAGCTTGAATGGTGAAATATGGCGAAGATGAGGCGGTAAATGGAAGTTGACCGTGCGACTCAAGTTGGAGAAACGAGCGGGCGTTCGAATGAGCGTGCAGGAGGGAGGTAAAGAGAAGCGTCAGTCGATGGGAGAAAGGGTCGGGGTTTCGGGAATGAAATGGATGAGCCGGGAAGGTCGAAGGAATGTGAGCAAAATGTGGTGGTCGGAGGTCTGGACGAGAGGAAGGTGTGCGGTGTGTCGAGGCGAGAGTGATTAGGTCGAGATGGAGAATGGGAGGAGCGAGAGCAAAGAATGAGAATGGAGATGGAAATGGAAATGGAAATGGGACTGGAAACGGAATACTGAGAGCCAAGGCAGCGGTAGCGGTAGCACCCAAGGTACGAGACCGGGGCCTTACTGCGCAGCGTAAGGTAGCAGGGGCAGCACTTGGAAGCCCAGTAGAGGGCATCTTAACCGTAAGGTACCTATTACTAGGTCGGTGGGCTGCGAAAGGTGACCAGAACGGATTGGGATGATGGGGAACCAAGGCGTGGAGCTGAGTGGACCGCAAAGCCCCAGCCCAGACGCCCCAGGCGCTGCCCACCATCGCTGCCCAGCCCGGCCTATCTTTTCTTACGACTTTCTCTTGTAGCAAGTCGTACGTTGAACAGTCTCTTTCAGCTTCGTTTCTTTGACTACCTGATTAGGCACAATACTAGAAGCAACCCTAGGAACGCTCGTAAGGTAGGTAGTAGGTATGCCTCTGTTCATCCTACCAGTGCTCGGACGGCATACACTGTCTTCCAATGTTGAATACAACCACCCGACAACACCACAATCGAGGTGGGTGACACCCAACATCCAGCCCACGCAACCATGCACCCACGGCAAGGTCCACGTCCCGCCTGCGCCGCCCTACGGTCGATCAGCAGCATATCAGTGGTCCACGGCCGAAGCCATCTTTGGGAGACTGTGAGACCTTGGGGGTCGCTCTCGCCCACATCTCCCCTCCCCCCTAGTCTGCCAACTGCCCGCTAGCTTGGAAGCGCCCAATTGCTGTCTGAAACTGATGCATCGGCTTGGTCGGTAACGTTGGTCCATCCATCATTTCTTGCCCAACATTCAAAGAGATTTCCTAGGAGACGGCATCTGAACGTCAGTCTTCTGATCATCAATGTCTTCCAAAGAGCTCGACTGGGATCACTGCAAGGCCCCCCGGAAGCGTGGACCCTTGAATCCCATTGAAAACGCCGCCAATTGGTGTGGGCTTCATTAATTGCTTACGGATACTTGTTGCTGATTGCTGCAAATCTATCCATCAGGTCGCATTATGTCATCATCATCTGTGCGGTCACTGTGGTGGGCACTCACCAGCCATCCGATGTGTGATGTCACTCTCTGAATCTTTTTGCAGGCGGGACTCTTTACCTTCCAACTGTCGAGTCTACCTCGATATATCCGTTTCCCGCCGGGAGGTGAACGTTCCCAGCACATTTTCGAGAGCGATGACCACCTCGAGATAAAGTTGGTGTGTTCGTATCTCCAACAGGCATCCCATCCTCGTGGCTACCCTTTCGACGTTGGGAACAAGGAAGACAGGGATCACATGTAAGACAATCAATAGTACACAATAACCATCAGCCACCTTGCTCCTCAACATCAGACGGCAGCTTGAGCTTCTGTCTTGATTCCGAACCCCCGCACTTTTGCAGTCCTCCAATCTAGGTAACTTAGCTATTCGATACCAATATCTCGATTCTCAAACGTACCTCAATCGTAGGAGAGAAGCGCACATTGCACTCCGGGTTGATGTTCAAGATTTGACAGCATCGCATTCCAGCAGACAGTCGCCATCGAGTGCCTACACATACTGACCTTGCCATGAAGTCGTCCTCAGCCCCATTCCCAACCTCCTTCGACCCCCCTTCGCAACTTTGTAAGCCACGGCCAAAGCTCTCAGCTCACTTGTCAGACGCTTCCCGAATCTAGCGCTCAAACTGAAACTCAAAAGACTCACATGGCGCCTTCTTGGTGTGATTTGGAAGCAGGGGCAGCCACACCTGAGGGCGTTGGGTCGTCCGCTCCCTGTCTTGTCTTGTCTTATCTTATCTTATCTTATCAGAAACCACCATTTTATCGCTGTCTTATCGCCGCTCCCGACGTCGCCTTCCTTTCAGTGCACAAGTTCCGACCTGAGACCAGCAGAAGTTGTCATCGTTGATTTAATCAACAAAACACTGGTAGGTAGCTGCCATAGCCGTGTAAATCAGCAACTGCCGACATCCATGCACGTACGCAGCCATCCCCGGTGGCTCATCCTGACGCGTCTCGTCGACATGGCGCCTTGATTCCCCCAACCGCCGTCATGTCCATCAAGCCCTTGCCAGAGGACGTCATCCGCCGCATCAGGTCCTCAGCCACAGTCACGTCTCTCAACGGCGTCGTATGCGCTCTCGTCAAGAACTCCCTCGATGCCGGAGCCACAAGAGTCAACGTTACTATCGACTACTCCCGTGGCAATTGCACGGTCGATGACGATGGGTTAGGCATTCTACCCCTGGAGTTTCGAGAGAATGGTGGTCTGGTCAAGCACCATCGTGAGCTACATATACCCATCTTAGCGTGCACTTGCTAAAACATCTTCAGATACATCAAGACTCTCACCCGAGATAGACTGCCACGGCATCAACGGAAACTTTCTAGCCTCTGTTGCCGCTCTGTCTCTGCTCTCCATCACCTCCCACCACCATCTCCACAACTCGCAAAGCTCTGTTACCATTCACAACTCAAAGGTCTTGGCACGCAATATCCCAGCCCTGCCGGAGCAACGCCTAGTGACCTTCAGCCATGGAACCCGCGTCACCGTTAGAGACTTGTTCGGCTCCATGGCCGTCAGAGTCAAGCAGAGAGCTGCAGCCTCAGAAAAAGTTGCAGTGGACAAGGAATGGGGCCGATTACTGCATGACCTGACTGCTCTGTTGCTAGCCTGGCCTTCGAGCGTTGCTCTCTACGTCCGAGACAGTGTCAACAACAACGAGACACGCTTCAGGCCCAATACAACACCCAAGTCGGACATGGTAACTCGGTCATCACGCACCCTGACACAATCAGGTCTTGTGGACGGCTTGGACCAAATAGTCTGGACTTCCATCGGCGCATCCGTTGGGAAGTTGACCATTGCAGGATGCATAGCGCTGAAGCCCGTGGCCACACGTCGAGCTCAATTCATCAGCTTCGGTATCCATCCCGTGTCTAATGAACACGGAACCAACGTCCTGTACAATGAGATCAATCGTGTCTTTGTCAATTCCGGTTTTGCTATAGAGGAGGACGCGGACGCCTCAAGCGATTCGCCCGACGTCCTTCTTCCAGGTTCAAGGGGACCTTCAGCAAAGATTGCCAAGCCGAGACGAGGCTTGAATCGGTGGCCAATGTTCTACTTTCAAGTCAGCTCTTCTTCCCGTGCACGTCCTCTCGTAGCTTCATCTTTCGAAGAGCTACTTGAGGAGCGGAACCACACCCTGGCGAACATGATTGACCTGCTCAAACTTGTCTGTTACGAGTTCTTAAAGAAGCATCATTTCCGACCCCACAAAGTCACTACTTCTCTTCAGGGCTCTTCTCGTAACAAGCATCATGGAGATGATTCTCGTAGTACAGAAGGGAGGCGCAAAGGTAGCCGGTCGCGGACAGTCTCGTCGACGACCAGTCGATCGAATTCAGCTACCCCGCTGTCGAGGCCAGAGTCCCCTTTTGATCTCTGGCAACGAGTGAAGATAGGACGGCCATCTGGAGGCACCTCGAAATCGGGAGCATCAACTCCCCTGTCCTCAGAGGCCGCTCTAGGAGCCACCATCAGACACACTGCGGAACAAGAGTTGGGTGAGGACATTTCGAAAGCTCAGCCTAGCTTGCGGTACCTCGATGAGTCCGGGAATCTTCTGCGAAAGCCCTTTGATGATTTGACGCCGAAATCTTCGTCAAAGCAAGACGCACCTGGCAAACATCCCGGTGCTACAAATGAGCCTGCTGGACAATCTCAGCTTTGCACGCAGTCATCGGTTGAGGTAGAGGAAAATCAATTCAATCCATCTTCGGCAAGGCCTGATGACAATGGGGAAGTAAGAGGCCATCTCAACTTGCTGCCTTCTTCTTCTCAATTTTTCAAGCCGAGTGGTGACCGGAAGCCTCAACCGCCGAGCGACAGGCTCAGGGGGATTCTTTCAAAATGGGAGAACCCCGTCTTCCAGCCTGTCGACCCCCCAGTACCTAAATTAAATGGTACATTGGCAGAAAAAAAGCAGAACCTGATTCATTCCCTCGATCTTGACACCACTGGATGTTCACACGGAGACCACACGTCGAATATCAAGCTGTCTGGTCGAGTCTCCAAAGCTGCATTGATGGAAGCAGAAATCGTCTCCCAGGTTGACAGCAAATTTATTCTGGTAAAGCTGAGACGAGATCTGATCTCTGGCGGAAACCTGCCAGTTATTCAAACGAATTCCGTACTAGTCTTGATCGATCAACACGCTGCGGACGAGAGATGTCGACTCGAGTCACTGATGCGAGACTATTTTTACACTGCTAATCGCCAGAAAGAGGTACTTGCACAGACGGAGGCTCTTGAAAAGCCCTTGCAGTTCGAATTCTCGTCCAAGGAGTGCAGACTGCTACGCAAATACGTCCACCATCTACGCCGATGGGGTGTATTCTACAACATTGATGAACCTGAGCCGACAGACTGGCGGCACAGAAGCAGGCAGCTCCCCAAGGTGGACGTGTTCAGCCTACCACCCAGCATCCTCGAGCGATGCAGATCCGAGCCGAAATTGCTCGCAGACCTTCTTCGGCACGAAATATGGAAAGCAGAGGAAGACGGCAGTCCAAGTTCCAGGCCATTCAGTTTCGCTGCTGGGAGTAGCAGTCAAGAGGTCGACTGGGTATCGAACTTTCACGGATGTCCTCAAGGGATCCTCGACTTGCTCAATTCGAGATCCTGCCGCAGTAAGTTTCGAATTTAATACGTTACAAATTAGGATGCTAACTCGAGTAGGTGCCATCATGTTTAATGATGTCTTGTCCAGGGACGAATGCGAGGCTCTTGTTCGGAGGCTCAGTCGGTGCTCGTTCCCATTTCAGTGCGCACATGGAAGACCTTCCATGGTGCCGTTGGTGGATACGAGAAGTTTGGTGATGAAAGAAGAGACGCCGCTGGGAAGCTTTGGGAGCTGCCTTAGAGACTCTGGCTTGTTGAAGTGAAAGTGCTCTTGCGAAATGTGGCGTCATGGAGAATAGTCATCTGAGAGCTGAGATACCCCGAAGCGAGTGTTTACTAAAAGAAGAAGGAATATAAGATGAAAATATCCATCATTGACCGTCATCAATGGGTCTAAAGCCGAGTTCCCCATCCAAGGTATGTCTCTTTGGGATTCCCATTCAGTCGGAGTGGATTGTGTGCTCAATGCTTCACACTATTGGTATTTCCGGTGAGTTCGAGCTCTTGTTCGTATTCTTCATCGGAGTGTAAAGCTAATTCTGGCATTTATTCGACAGACAGAGTTTCCCACTCATGTGTCTTGACATTGCTCGATTTGACTGCTTCTCCCTGCATCACACCATGGACATATGCACCCCCTACCAGCCGGTGATGGCTTGGTCCTTTCTTCCGGAATATCAATGGTACACGTGAGCCAGGAACGATCCAGATTGAGTCATTCATCTGAAGACACTCTGAACCAAGCCCGATGAAGCCTCCAGACGTCTCAAAGAGCCTCAGATGCAACCCATGGGAGAATGCGGTATTGTAGTCTTCCATCCCAGGAGCTGGCGGCATAGATTGGCTCAAACGACGAAAGTAGGCAATCATGGCCGCCACTTGAGCATCCTCTCCGCCTTTCAGACCTTTAGATATCGCATCAAGCCTCTCTGTAATCCAGTGCACAAACGCCCCCTTGTATCTCTCATCTATTGGACACTGCGGCGGGTCACCTCCGGTGTTGGTCACTAGAGAGCGCCAGACTGCATTCAACACTCCCTCGTCCACGCGAGGGTCCTCTCCCATCAGGATCTTCATCAACGTCGGGAACGGTGCGCCAAAATAGATCTCGTGCTTCGTCTCAGCAGCAACCCGAACCACGTCAATCTTCAACGCCCGCATCTCCAACACCCTGCAAGACTCACGAATCACCAGCGTCCGCGGCAGCCCCCCAGAGGCATCAAACCGGCGGTACCCGGTAACCCGCAACCCCAACGCCTTATCGCACCGCCAATCCGGCACCCAAGACGGCAGCGCGGCATCTCGGAACTTGTCCCCCTCGACGCAGTACAGCAGGAACAAGTCGTCCGTGTCCTCCAGGATCTGCACGGCGGCGGCGACGTAGACGGACTCCACGGTGACCTCGTCGCCGTACAGGGGCCGCAGCCGCCGCCTGTCGCGCACCGGGCTGCCGCCGTCCAGCCCCACGAGACCAAAGAGCGCGTAGACTTTGTCCCGCGGGTCCGTGGCGCGGAAGTGTCGCGTGCGTACCAGCGCGTGCGCGAGGGCGGAGGCGTAGTTGTTGTTGCCCTCGAGGCGGTTGCGGGAGGCTTTGTTCGCCTTGAGGATCGTGGGGACGTTGTGGTGGCAGGCGCCTGGGGTGGTGTCTCGCAGGAGGCTGGTGGAGGAGAAGTGGGAGGACCAGGACGTGGTGGAGAGGAAGTGGGAGACGGATTCGAGGTGCGTCCACGAGGTTGTTTGGCGGCCGCAGAGGACGGTGGCGGAGCGCGCGAGGACGACTTCTTGGATGATCCACGATCTGCAAAAGTAGTTGCGCCGGAAGAGGGTTCGGACGGCGTCCCAGGATGTGGGGTCGTGGAGGATGTCGTCGTTGTCGTCGTCGTCGTCGTCGCCGCCTCCGCGGTCCCGTGAGAGCGGGCTTTGGGATATGCTTTGCGGAGTTAGTCTGGCCAGGTGTCGTGCGTCTATCGTCGTGAGGTGGTGTATTAGGCGTAGCGCCTTGACCGTGTGGTCGTCTTCCTCGCCCAGCCAGATTAGCACGCAAGAGGCAGAGCTGTAGATGCTCGCCATGAGCTGGACCTGCCTCGAGCGCTCCGCATCGTCGGTCTGGTTGATGGAGATGGCATCGATCCAGAACCTTTTGCTCGCGAGCTCTGGGTTGTCTCGTATCCGCAGGAGCGCGGTCCAAAGGTTGTGCGTGATGAGGATGGCGTGGCCGTTGCAGGTGATGCTGGTGGCGGGCCTGTCGTCGGCTTCTTGGACGGTGGCCGGGCCCCAGGTGTATGAGAGGGCGTGGTAGGGTGTCGAGTCGTCGAGGCTGGATACGTGGAGAGAGCAGCTAAGGCTGTCAGGGTTGTCGCCGTTGCCTTTGGCTTGGATTGTGATGAGGCGGATGTCGTTGGCGGCCAAGGGTAAAGCGGGGTAGATTGACGACGGGATTTGTGTGTGGATTTCGCTCACTAATTCAATAGTGATTGACATCTTTCTTTTTTAATTCCTCTTGAAATCTGTGTGAATTATTCAGAGGTTTTGACCTTTTTTTTTTTGGTGCTCATCACGACGAAGTCATTGTCCAGGCATTCGAAACTCACATCGCCAAGGCAGATCTCGAGGCGGACACGGTGAATTGAGGGGCTTGCTTGTACTAATAACGCCGTCAGAGTTTAGACCAGATCTGGACCGGTAACTTGCTCAGCCTCGAAAGCCTTGTTCAGACTCCACGGGTATTGATTTTTTATTCAAGCTAGTCCCCTCGGAAACCCCCAGCCCAAGGTCTTTTCCATCCTTTGCATTTGAACCCTTGGGTTGCATATATACCGTTACGTTTCCCTTTCAGCTCATGCTCCCCCAGAGCCTCTTCCCCGCACTCCTCGCCGCAACCAAAATGGCCGCCCCAACGTCCGACCTCTGCCGATATAGATTCACAATCCTGCCCGAGTACTTTGTGGACTACTACAAGATCGCCGATGCCAGTCCAAACGGGAAAGCAACCACGCAGCCAAGTCTTGGACTCCTCGACAAGACCTTCGGCGACGCGGCTACTGATGGTGACGGCGACGTAGCAATGGCCGAGGGTGGTAGTGGTGGTGCCAGGCCCTGGGAGCGATTCGCCTCTCATGTGAGGAGGCTTAACGCTGAGAGCCCCGACGGTGTGGACTACAAGGTCTTGTACCTGACGAGGCATGGCCTCGGATACCACAACGTCCAAGCAGCAAAGGTTGGGACGGCTGAGTGGGATGTGAGTTTATTTTATTTTTTGGGAGTCCGCTCTCCTCAACCTTGATGAGGCCGAAGAAAGTTGACGAGAGGCATGCAGAGATACTGGTCCCACCTCGACGGAGACGGCGTCGTGACATGGCTCGACGCAGAGCTCGTCGACACAGGCATCCAGCAAGCAAAAGACCTAAGCACCTTCTGGGCGCGCGCAACCTCCACCTCCACCACCGCCGAGGGAGAAGGCGAAGGCGACGGCGTCCCCTTCCCGGAATCCTTCTACACCAGCCCCCTCCGCCGGTGCCTCGAAACGAGCAACCTCGCCTTTGGGCCCCTCGTCGAAGCCAAAGGGGGCCGGGAATTCCGACCCCTCATCAAGGAAGGGCTGAGAGAGCGCATGACGGACCACACGTGCGACAAGCGGAGTCCGCGGCGCTGGATCGAGGGCGCGTATCCGCGGTATCGTTTCGAGCCTGGGTTCACGGAGGAGGATCGGCTTTGGAGGGCTGATCGGTTTGAGACGACGGAGGAGCATGTCGCGAGGAAGCAGGCGGTGCTGGAGGAGATTTTCGCGACGGATCCGGCCATGTTTGTGTCGTTGACTGTGCATTCGTATGCTATTTCGGCGATATTGAGGGTGGGTGGGCAGGAAGAGTTTAGGGTGAGGGAGGGGTCTTCTATTGCTTTGTTGGTTCGTGGGGATAGAGTAGGTGAGTAGTCAATTGAACGAATATCTCTGTACTTTTACGTACTTTAACGCTGTTTCTACCACTGCTTCTGCCCCTGTTGTGTCATCGTGAGGCGATTCGACTTTCTGGCAACAGTGCTGGTGACTAGGCCAAGTCGTCGTCGTGGTTGTAGAGAAACGCTGATATCGGCTTGAATTATCTCAAATACCAAAAGCGGTGTGCTGTAGTACGGGTCTGGTAAATTGAAATAATCTTGAGACGAATGGTAGTTGAGATGTGTTTAAGGATGAGACGCAAACACAAGGAATCGTGAATCATCTATACCTACCTGATGTGCTTCACCTTATTATTTCACAATACATCTCACCTTTCCACTTTGGAAGGTTCGAGACTTGATTCTTTCCTCGCCGTCTGACTACAAACGCACTTGACAATTGTCTTTCACCTCTCTCTTCGCTTTATGCCCTTTCGCCCTCGTACCTTGTTTACATTACACCGTCCTTGGTCTGTGGCTTTTCTTGTGGTGTTTGAGCCACGGCATCTACATCGCAACAAAGCTCAGCACTTTGCCTTTGCGCATAGTCTCTCTCTCACTCTCTCCCATTACTACCATCGCTATCTTTTCTTCAAGTCTCCTTTTTGAGTATAGTTCAAAAAATATCCTCAAGACATCTTAATGAAATAGTGATAAGGACAGTAGAGATGAAGATAGTGGTAATGACATGACATAGGGGGTTACTTATGTGCCTACCGGTGGATCATTTCGTCACCCTCTCGCTTCCTCTCTACCAAGTCCTGGCCATCTCACCCTCGCTCCTTCCAACAGTCTCTTCTAAGACACAACGGCGGTACCCTGCCACCACAAAGCCCCTATGATACTCGAATCGAACAAAACTTTCATCACCTACCAGGCAACTACGCCTCCGTCTTCGCACATGCGCTGTTGCGCTCGTGACGCTTCTGGATCATATATTTGTAAGATGTCGAAGACTGTGATGCTGCATTCCCCTATAAACTGTACATAAGGCTCCTTGAGACGTCTGAAAGCCTCATTAGAATAGGGTCAGAGCGTTCTCCAAGAGAGTTACTCAATGGAATGTCACTGGTTGAAGTGTGCTATTAATCTTCTAGGAAAAGGAAGCCAAGTGTTCACCGGCTAATAAAAGCTGCGTACTACGAAGAGATATAGGAAGAAGAGTGTAGATGTAACTTCCACCAGCTGAGCAAATCGATGTTGCTCGGTCTATGCGCTCTTTGGTCCCGTCTGATTGTTATAAATGTCCCATGATGGCGGGTCGGAATTCCTGGCCCTTGGATTCGACGAGGGGCCTGAAGGCGAGGTTGCTCAGTTCGAGGCACCAGCGTAGAGGGCTAGTGCAGAAGGTTTCCGGTCATGGGACGGCATCGCCTTCGCCTTCTCCCTCGGCGGCGGTGGAGGTGGAGGTTGCGGCAAAGCCTTTGGCCGCGGGAGAAGTAAGAAAACGTTCCAGTCGCTAGGCGGCTTGGTACCGTGGCCATGTGGCATTGGCGGCCGGCTGCGACATGAACTCGACCCGGCTATTTGGTAGCGTTAGCAAGTGCGGATATTCGTGTACGATATCCGTGGTTTGTTCAACGGTTTGTATATCGCAATGCCGGCCGTATTGATAGAGACTTGGAGAGATGTTCCTACCTTAGTCCGTGAGTAAGTGCACCGGGCCGGGTCACACAGACCAACCGGCCTCGGGACCGGACCCACTCTTCAGTGGTTGTCGATATCCGGAATGATACTGCCAATAACTGCCCAGGCAGTCTAACGCACCGTCGGTCATCTATCATTTGCAGCCGGAATGACAGAACCCCGCCAGATTGCTTTTACCCAACTGTTAACTCGTTTATCACGCTGCACGGGTATCTTCAGTGTGGAAACGCGGGGGACGGTGATAGTGGCTGGGGGTGGAACGTGCGAAGATACGGTCACCGTCGCAATGGAGAGATAACAAGTTGCTTCGGTCATCCTGGTTTCGGTCTATTAAACTCTCTATAGTTGAACTACCGATAACAATGCGGGGTTTAGCCACGCCCAACTCAATCTGTCCCGTATCTAAGGAAGACGGCTGTCTTCCGACTCAGCGCACGCATTACGCGTGATACGCTGGTTGATCGTTAGCACCAATGCTAAGTAGATAAGACTTAATAAGAGCACTAGTACCCCTTCGACCAAAGTGAAGCCCTTGGTGATGTGGTCTCTGTGATCGACGTATTGCTTGAACTGCGAACAAGTCCAGGTCAACCGAAAAACCAGTCCCGTTCATCATGGCCGACATCAAGAAAGACAAGCCTCAGCCAGAGGTTTCCGATGCTGCGGACACGGCCGAGGCGTACACTGAGAAGGTTACGCTATCCGAGCACGACTTGGAATTGGAACAAGCACTGGCAAACTATGTTCCAGACTCTCCGGAAGAGAAGGCCCTCGTGCGGAAGCTCGACTTATACATGGTTAGTCTTTTTCTTCTCCCCCCCTGGCTCGTCTGCTGGGTTGAACAGTAGTCGAAAGCCGAGTCAGCAATGGCGCGATGCTAACACCAATGGCAGGGGCCGACGTTATGGTTCATGTACATTTTAGCGTATATCGACAGGCAGAATATCGTGAGTCTATCGCGGCAGATTACGCGCAGGGTTGTCTGAACTGACTTGTCACAAAGGGCAATGCCAAAGTTGCTGGTATGGAAGCAGACCTCAAACTCACAGACGATCGTAAGCGCCCCCCCCCCCCCCCCCCCCCCTGTACTAGTTCAGACCAAAGAACTCAGAGAACTCGGTATTGACATGATGATGGTACAGAATATGCCATGTTGCTTTCCATCTTCTTCATTGGCTATCTCGTCTGCGAAGTCCCTTCGAATATGTTGCTTACTCGATCTCGCCCGTCATACTACCTGCCCGGTATCATGATTGTCTGGGGCACCGTGTGTTCTGTGATGTCGGTTGTCAAGAACTATGAAGGAATGCTGGCTCTTCGGTTCTTTCTCGGCTGTATCGAGGCTGGATTCTTCCCTGGTGTCTTGTACGTGATGACTTGCTGGTACAAAAAGGCAGAAATCGGTAAGTACCTAATTACCTACTATCACGGCGTCACCCGCAAGTTCCGTACTTTAATCTACTTTTCATCTTTGAAAGTAGCTCAAGTACGGATAGATGCCAAGCCCCACAACTGGTCTACGTCAGCTCGTACTAAAGTTGAAATTGCGTTTTACAGGCAAGAGGTTCTCAATCTTTTACACCGCTTCTGTGTGCTCCGGCGCAGTGAGCGGCCTCCTCGCTGGCGCAATCACCGGCAATATGGAAGGCGTCCGAGGCATGCGAGGGTGGCGATGGCTCTATCTGATTGAGGGCGTCTGCACAGTCGGGTTCGCCATGATTTTCAAGTTTGTGCTGCTCGACTTCCCCGAGACGACGAAGCGCTTCTCATTGGAGGAACGGCAGCTCGCCGTGGTCCGCATGATCCACGATCGGCAAACGACGGCGGCGCGACACGGCCAGCGCCTCACCCACTGGCAATCTCTCAAGGCCGCGCTGGCCGACCCGCGGACGTACGTCTTTGTGGTGCTCTTCACGATGGACCTGGGCTCTTGCACCATCTCCTACTTCATCCCCACCATTGTCAAGCAGATGGGCTACACGTCGGTGATGGCGCAGTACATGACCATCCCTATTTGGATGGTCGGCGCCGTCTTCCTGCTCGTGCTCTCGTACACGGCCGACAAGACGAGGGACCGCAGGTGGCACATCACGGGGTGCATGTGTCTCAGCTTCGTCTGCACGCTCGTCTGCGTGACCGTGTCGAACCCCAAAGTCGTGTATGCCATGCTGTGCTTCTACATTGCCGGCCTGTACACGGCGCTCCCGCTCATGCTTAATTGGACTTCCGAGGTCATTTCGCTCCCTGCGGAAAAGCGCGCGGTGGTGGTGGCCCTAGTCAACTCTGTCGGAAATCTCTCGGCGGTCTACGGCAGTAGGCTCTGGCCCTCGTCGGACGGGCCCCGGTTCGTAAAGGGGTTCGCGGTCACGGGTGCCTTCACCGGCTTCGGAACCATTCTGGCGGCGCTGATTCCTGTCATCTTCTCTTATCTGCCCAAAGAGGGTAACACCAAGGCTGAGAAGGAGATCTTGGCGCGCGAGAGAGAGTTTGTTGAGAACACCAGAGCCCCCGGTGAAGTCTAAAGTCGTATGAGCTGTGAAATGGCAATATGGGCAAAGGGAAAACGACGCCCGGGTCGGGACGGTGGGGGGAGGAAGGGATGGGAGCGGATCGAATTCAATTTGCCTCCATCAGCATTGGTAAGGCAAGGAGGGGAGGGGTCGTACCGAGGAATTAATATAAATATATGAACTGCAACTTTGAATGGTACCTTGACAATTCACAAAGCCGTATTTTATGGAACAGCGTTCCCTCCCAGGAAAGAGAGTTGCCGATCACTGTAAACACAGGTTTAGGCTGACCACGATGATTGGAGGCATTGGAGGTTCTGGTTCGCTTCTATCCGCCGTTCTGACGGTCTGACCGCTGCTGCCGTGCGTCCCGGCAAACAGAGCCGAGATCCAATTTTGATGGTCAAAGGGATGTAAGGGAACAGGTCGGGAATACTGGGTGTTGGTGGTACTGTTCCCAGAGTTCCCACAAGAGTTTCCATCTCACCGGAATAGTCGATCCTTTGAAGAAGTGACGGGAACCACAATTCATCCTCGTCATCCTTGTGGCTTGATATCGGATATCTTTCGAGATGTGGCTCCCTGTGGCTCCTCGATATGGGGCTTTCTCGAGTTCCTCGTGGGCTGGGCTTGAGGCTCAATCTATTTCTTGGCATGCATATCCTGGTCTCTGGGACCTACACTAGACACCTTTGTGCCAATTCTGCCCGGGATTGGATCCCACCCCTGAATGGGCACGGATTGCGAAAAGAAAATGTCAGCGAGAGGCATTAGCCGCCTATTTCTCATATCAGCCCGTCCAAACTAATCCTGTTCGAGGCATCCGGCTGCCCACGTTCACCCTGACTCGAAACACTAAGGAGAGACAACCCGCACCAAGCAGAAATGGCGTGTGTGTTTTTCTGCTTCCGATTGACTTTCTCTCCCTCCGCAGACCAGGTCCTTGAAAAAAGGTTTCTCTTTACAGTACGGGAGAACTGACTGCCGTCACAATACACGTGTAACCGAAAAGTAAAAATCTACCCAAGTCCACGAAGGAGCTTGGGCCAAATAAATGGAGCCTGATGCGCCTACCGCGGTTTATGCTTAACAGATCTTATCCCTTCTCAGGACGACATATTATGTGACATTGTCACACGTAGAGTCGGAGACAGGCCGAGGCTAGAAGCTTGTTAGCTTATTTTCTCACAACCCCTGGTTTGTTCTGATTTACTGGGTCTCTCTGGAGTCTGACTGAGTATAGATGCCCACGCGCGTATTACTCTTCCATGTATGTGCCGCGGTGTGGCGTTTGCGGCTTGCCCAGTTTCGCTGATGCCAACAAATGTCAGAAAGTACGCCATCAACCGGGAAATTTCCAACCGTTTCATCGGAACGAGTTATGGAGAGCCTAGAGCGTGGTGCTCTGCATGTTGGAGCTCCTTTTCTCGGATCCCATGTGTCCTTAGTGGCGGAAATTTCTCTGAACCCATGTTTGGCACCTTGCAGACGGAGCGTCTCTCCTCTCAAAAACGAATGGTACCCTAGGAACGCGAACTGCCGCTCGTGGACATGAGTACTGACTGGTTTAGACACCCCGTGACATCTCACTGCAGCAGGTCCTTTCCGAGCTCCATCGCTGGGAGTCTTTAGTCTGCCTCCGGGCCCTGGGGCAGCCACACTTCCCAAGTCCCGCCCCTCTCCCCCCCTTACGCGGCCCTACCAGCGGAGATCTCTGTTCGTCTTTTCATTGATGGAAGTGACGCCACAGACGAGTGCGAGGCCGTGCGAGACCCGCGAACTAAGCCGAACGTCTTCGTCGACGGGCTCGATTCGGATTGTGCCGCCGAAGCTATCACCGCAACCCCGGGTCAGACGGGGGTGACGTGGTAGATGAAGGGGTTACAGAGCGCAGCAAATCCCCACGAATCAGTGGAGACTACCCACCACTCTATCCCTCGAACAAGTCGGCTCCGGCACCTAACGCCATGATTCTTCGGAAAGTAGTGTGGGTGGATTAAGCAATGTTCCTCGGCCGACTGCGCAATTGGGGGTGTGCTTTTCTTTGGAAGGCCTAGAAGGATGAGGAGCCGTGAGATGAGGCCTTCGTCTGGCCCTGCTGGCGGGGGGTTCTCTTGGAAAGGCTTGGTGGTTAGGGGGCTACTCTATCCGTACTACCTGGGAAAGGAGAAGGAAGACATGGAGGAAGGGGGTTCGTTGAAGGAGCGGCGTCGAACAGCGGCACAGTTTCCAACAAACATATATGATCGACCTTGAGCCGCGCTCTTTGACTTGGAAGCTCCTTCTTACTCCAGCGGCTTTCGTCCTCTTGTCTCTCTTTCACATCCGACCAAAACCTATTCGTTCTTTTGTATCTACGTTTTTATTCTTCTTATTCGAAAGCCTTCTAACTATGAGATCTGCTCTTCTCTCCGCGGCACTGGCTGCCTTCGCCCCCTTGGCTCTCGCAGCCGACGCCGTCTCTGGCGCCGCTGAGGGCTTCGCCAAGGGAACTACTGGTGGTGGTAGCGCCACTGCCGTCTACCCTTCCACCACCTCCGAGCTTGTCTCCTACCTTACCGACTCCTCCGCCCGCGTCATCGTCTTGACCAAGACCTTTGACTTCCGCAACACTGAGGGCACCACCACCGCCACCGGCTGCGCTCCTTGGGGTACCGGCTCTGCTTGCCAGACTGCCATCAACAAGGACAACTGGTGCACCAACTACCAGCCCAACGCCCCCAAGGTCTCCACGACGTACGTAGAGAACCACTTACATCCTGCGGATACATTGTGACTTTCATGATACTTATATCTTCTCTTCACAGCTACGACAACGCTGGCTTGAACCCCATCAAGGTCGGCTCCAACAAGTCCCTCATCGGACAGGGCAGCAAGGGTGTTATCATTGGCAAGGGTCTCCGCATCACCGGCGGCGCCAAGAACATCATCATCCAGGTATGAAGACTCGTTCCACTCCATCAGTCACTATCATAGCGGCTAGCGACTAACTACCGGTGCTAGAACATCCACATTACCAACCTGAACCCCAAGTACGTCTGGGGTGGTGATGCCATCACTCTCGACGGCTCCGACCTCGTCTGGATCGACCACGTCAAGACCTCCCTGATCGGTCGCCAGCACATCGTTCTCGGCAACGGCGCCTCCAACCGTGTCACCATCTCCAACAACGAGATTGACGGCTCTTCCTCCTGGTCCGCTACCTGCGACGGTCACCACTACTGGGGACTCTACTTCACCGGCAGCAACGACATGGTCACCTTCAAGAAGAACTACATCCACCACACCTCTGGCAGAGCCCCCAAGGTTGCCGGTAACACGTACGTATTAATTCCTGCCAGTCTTGGCGCATGCCTCGAGAGCATGGTGTGCTATCGAAGTTTCCAACTAACGAAACTCCATCACAGTCTCCTCCACGCCGTCAACAACTACTGGTACGACAACTCCGGCCACGCGTTCGAGGCCGATTCTGGTGCCAAGATTGTCGCCGAGGGCAACATCTTCCAGAACGTCGTCGCCGCCTACCAGACCGGTCTCGCCGGCCAGATCTTCGCCTCCCCCGACTCCACCACCAACGCAAAGTGCTCCACCAACCTCGGCCACGCCTGCCAGCTCAACGCCTACGGCTCCAGCGGCACCCTCGTCGGCTCCGACACCTCCATCCTGGCCAACTTTGCCGGCAAGAACGTCGCTACTGCCGGCACCGCCAACGACGCCAAGGCTGTTACCACCAGCGCTGGCTTCGGCAAGCTCTAAGCGCTTTCGCTTGGATCGCTTGCTCCTTATCTCTCCTGTTGGAGTTTCTCAGTGGTTGTAATTGGGGGAAGTGTTGAGTCGGGTACACGCAAAGAGACCAACGACAGATTCATGTACATATCTTACTACTTTACCGTCGAGGACGTAAATATCATGCTTGATGCATCAAATATTGCACATATTCACGCAAAACATACAGCTCCTGAATTCCATATATGTGAAGATTAGTGTGTCAATTTGATCAAGCACGGGGCTTCGCGATTCAAGGTACCTGTGATCTCCATGACATGACTGGAACCTCGTGCATTCCAGAATATTTTGGATAATTTACTAAGTACCCTGATGCCTTTCTTCATGCAAAGATTCAATCTCGGCTCAATAACGGGCATTCATAGCTCGTGGGCATCACAGGCTACCACATTCATGGTTAAAAATTGACCTATTCTAGGTAAGGTAAGGCAAAAATATGCAGAGTCATCTGAAGTACATTTCATATGTTCTTCATGCCTTTTTCTCTTCTTCGGGCCCCCTTTGGTTTTACTACATACTACACACAGTCGGCGTAATGAAGGCAGAACTGCTTCATACAGCAGTAAGTAAGTCCAAGAGCAGGAAAGAAAAATGCAAAAACAACAGCAGCCGACTGGACCAGAGGCCACCAGGCCCGATATCTGTTGTTAGAGTGGGGAGGCACTAACTATTTGATAAGGCCTACCGGTTGAGTCCCAATGTGTGACGTGTCTGCCGGTGATTCAACACCCTTTTACATACGTAGTACTCATGGAATATGTAAGCGACTAATGAATAGCACATGCCTTGGGCAACCTAGTTCTGGACATTTGTGAATTTATAAAGATGTCCTTAAGCCAGTCTGCTTCCTTCGATCCATCTTGTTTAGAAGGCCCTAGGAGGCAAATAGGCATTGAGTGATCTATCATCCTAGGCGCTTGACATCATGTATCTTCCTTCATGGCACATGTTTTCCGTCGTCAGTCGTCATTCTGAGCAGATGCTGTGGATCTCGGCTACGGCGGGCGGAGTGGCACCCGGAGGGCCGGAGGCCGCCCCGTTCCACTAACACATACGGAACCTAAGCCCGAGAAATGCCCCACCCGGACCCGAAGCCCTAGAACTCTAGCTGGCTTCCGCATCTCCCGTATTCAAAGACGTACACCGACAAAAACGTGTCATGAGACCACCGGCGAAAGAAACTTAATATCCTGGATCACCAAATTTTCCGGCATCCTCCTTGGAAAAGTTTTCTCCTTATTATCAAATCAGTCCAGACTACCCACCCACCAAGCATTTCCACAAAGACCTTTCACTGCGGCAAATATCAAGACGTCCAGCGAACCAAATTGATACTCTTTCTACAACGATTCTACACAGTGAGTCCCCTTTATACACGAGTGTCAAATTAAAAAATCCCTAACATTGGCAGATAAGACGCCCGATATGGACATCGGCCTCATCTTACTTGCCATCTCGGCCGTACTCTTCGAGGTGATCGTCATCGTCTCATGGTGGTGCACCATGACGCCCCGCACCTCCGCCGACGGCCCCGAAAACGATGCTCGGCGCGAGGAACAAGAACGCAGGGAGGGAGAAGCGCTAACGATTTGGGTCTTCGAGAAGCAGAAGAGGAGGCACGAGTTGGACAACAAGCACGAGGAGCAGCGCAAGCAAGACGCCGAAATGATTCGCGAGCTCGCTCGGAAGACCGCTTCGTTGGGGCAGGCGGAGGAGCGCGATGCTGACAAAGCCCCGCTGCTTCCGCAGGATCAGAAGAATGAGATGTTATGAACGGGTCTAGGCACTATAGGAATACTTGGCTCATGTACTCCAGTATAAGGTAGCGGAAAGGGATGATTTTATAGCGGCAATGAGCAGACAAATCACTCTTCTTTCAACCACCACCTTACTGCGACCCTTCGTGTCGTCTTCAGGGAAAAGGCTCAGAGTGAATAACGCTAGATTAGAAGAATAATAGCCACAGGGATAAGAATAGTGGTAGAAAACATGGGTAGTTGCGCAGGGGGCATGCGGGTTACTGGATAGGTTGCCGCTCAATACATTCTCAGTTTCCATTGATGTTACCACCGCTGCTTTGAGCACCAGTACAGCATTTATCAGTACCGTGAAGAGAACGCCTCAATATTTACTATCAGGACGTGTCTTCCTATTCAAGTAAATCAAAGCACCAAGTCAGGTGGGCTTGATCAAAGAGATTCCTCGTTGAGCTACCTAATGACACCTACAAGCCTACTGCCAAAAGAGGCCCAACTCCAACTATCCTTCAGAATTATCCCGGGTTCCTTCACGTCTCAATATGCACATCGCTCATCCCATGCCCCAATAAATTGTTATCACTATGTGAATGTGTTTCCCCCCCCAGGCTGCATACCCGGCCTCCGAACTCTCAGTGCGTCACACTCAGGGTCTCCTGGCCGGAACTCGGCACCAATGCGTTACCTCGGTTCTGTGATGATGGCAAGCTCCTCAACACTCGCGTTTTGTATGCTCAAGAATGCTCAGGTTCAGAGTCTTGGCCTGAACCAGGTTGCTCCGACATCTGAGGGTCCTTTGGCAAGCCAGGACCCTTCGAAATACTGCGGTCCATGTACTCCGGATTGTCCAATTGTCCGGAGATGTAAATGAGCCAGCTGTCGAAAAGTTGAGGAGTCCAATGGTGGGGAAACCAGCCGTGGAAGTATTGCATCTTTGGGAAAGAGACTTCGCCCCAGGGGTGAGGCGACTTTTTCCAACGTTGGTAAACCCTGAGAGGTCCCTTCCTCTCATCGTCGATCAGGGCATCGACATAGTCAATCACCACAACGCGAGGCGTTGTGAGAAGCTCGTCTCCAAGTTTACCTGTGAGGAGAATGTTTTCGGGGTCGAGACGCATATTGACTCCGTGATGAAGCATGTTCATGTAGCCTTTCAGAAGCGTCACGAAGACTTCCAAACGAAGCTTCCTATCGAAGCACCACTTGGTACCATCGGCCATCTTAGGCAACATCCCGTTGCGAGGAACAAGAAGGTATTCTTTAGCAGTCCGGAAGCAAAGCTCCTCGATGCTGGTCCCTTCAATGTACTCCATGATGATGGCTCTGGCGAATCGCTGCTTGTCTTCAACATCCGAATTCGTGGTCGTAAGCTCGATGGCCCAGGATCCGTAGTATTGAGGTGCAAGGTGTTCATATCCAGTTTTCTTGTGAGTCCAGAGATGCTTGTAAGCACCGGCCTCACAAGTGTGCTCCTGATCGGCTCTAGAGGTAACCTTCCAAGGCCCTTGATTCATTCCGCACGTGAAGGGGTAGAACATCGCATCGTACACCTTGAGAATCGCAAGCTGACCCACGGTCAAGCGTTCCCCGTCGATAGTTAGAATGAATGGGGCCTTGCCGGCAACGTCTGGTTGCTTCTCACTCCGATCCCCTCGAGATGAAGTTGAACTACCCGCATTCTTCTGATCGAAAATGTCTCCAACATACTGCTTCGCCCGTCTGCGTTTATCTGTAAAATACTGTCTGAAAGTATCCTTCTGCTGCTTGTACGTTCGGTCCTCGTGTTTGGCTCCGCCATCGTATTTGGCTTCGTCAACCTTACACAAAATGACCTGTGCGCCGGCAACAGGGCCGCCGGATATGTTTTTCGTGATGGTGAGGTGGACTGTAGCCTTGTCTTGGGTGGGATCAGGATTGCTGATATGTCGATCGTGATAGACTAAGCCGGTGCGAGAGAGGCGCCTTTCGTCTTCGGACAGAACTTTGTCATCGCTATAGATGCCTGCAGGATTGGGATACTCAGAGCGGCCGTAAGGTCGGCGCGGAACTTGATAGGTATACACCAACTTGCTCCCCTTCTCGTATTGTTCGAAGTCTTCGGACAAGCTGGAATTGTCGATGAAAGGCCCATTTCGTGATTGAGTTGCGGGCTCCGTGTCGGTGGGAAGTTGTTCCCTTGATTGCGGTTCTGGTTCCGGATCCGAATGCAGTTGAGGTTGCTCGTCTGAGAGCTGAGTCTTCCTCTTCGGGGTCTGCTCGTCCGTTGACGGCAGCTGCTTGCCTTTGGATGGACCATCCTCAGACCCAGATGGCGGGGTATGCTCGCGCGACGGCCAAGGAGGATGTGCTTCGGACGAGTATTTCACTGGATTGGTCAAGCGAATGGGAATGGGTTGGGTTGAGGCGTTCTGAGATCCAGATTGGGGCTGGCTGTGTTGAGATTCCGTTGATTGCGCCAAGATTGTCGGTGGTGTTTCGATGACTCCGATGGTTTCTGAACCGGAATCATCGTCGGACTCCCAGACCTAAATGACACGAAGACCAAGGTACCCTGGTGGCTTGATTCGGCGGATACCAAAAGAGGAGGGTGAGCACCTTTTGATACCTCACCTGATGGAAATTCAGTGTAAACCTACACTGCGAAACCTACGAAACCTAAAGTGAGTGGGTTAGAATAGGGATACTCCTCACCTTCATGTATCCTATGCCCAGAGTCAAAATGTAGCGTGTCCTTTACTTCTCGTCTTGCTGACGATGATTTCAACCATGACAGCCTCTTGGCTTTCAAGCGTGATGGCTCTGAACTAAGTCCGATTCCCTCTCAGATACTGACACTAGCAACATCAAAAACAAGCTACACTTACTTGACTGTACAAGAAGATAGGCAGGTGGTGAGAAACTAATTTGCCTCTCGATACCTTACTCCTAGTTCTATCACTCCTACTCTCTCCGCCATCTGGACTGTCTTCGTCACTCAAGGGAACTTGCTCTCTATATATGACAGGGACACATTTACGTGAACCGGCATCCTATTCTATCATCTACTTAGTAGGGTATAGTCTATTCTAAAGTAAAGAAACAAAAACATGACAGGAAAAGCGGCATTACTCAATACCAGTCATAACCATCTTTGTCACCAAAAACTCGTCAATACCATACTTGCTTCCTTCGCGACCAAATCCGCTCTGCTTCACGCCGCCAAAGGGTGCAGCGGGATCACTGATGGCTCCTACAAGTAGCTCGTTAGCACAAGTCTCCCATGCCCATGAAAGACTCGCCCAAAAGGACGACTTACCAATATTTACGCCAACCATGCCAACCTCGAGCGCCTCCGCCACACGCCAGCACCGCGACACGTCCTTGCTGAAGAAGTACCCCGCAAGACCAACGTCCGCATCGTTAGCAAGCTCGACGGCCTGCTCCTCGGTATCAAACGAAAACAATGCCGCCACGGGCCCAAATGTCTCCTCGGAACAAATCTTCATGCCGGGCTTCATGTCCGCCAGCACAGTGAGGTCAAAGTAGTTGGACCCCAGCTCGGTCAGGGGCTTGCCGCCAAGAAGCACGCGCGCGCCCTTGGAGACTGCGTCCTTGACGTGCTCGTCGACCTTGGCGACGGCGCGGTTATGGATGAGCGGGCCGTGCGTCGTCGTCTCCCCGAATCCGTCGCCGACGGTAAAGGTCTTGATGGCGTCGACGACCATTTGCGAGAACTGGGCATACACGCTGCTGTGGACCAGAATCCGGTTGGCGCATACGCACGTCTGGCCAGAGATTCTGAACTTGGACGCGATGAGGCCCTTGAGCGCCGCATTCAGATCAGCATCTTCAAAGACGATGAAGGGGGCGTTACCACCGAGCTCGAATGACAACTTCTTGAGCGTCGAGGAGCATTGGTTCATCAGCAGTTTTCCGACGCCCGTTGAACCGGTAAAGGACACCTTCTTGATAACCGGGTGCGTCGTGAGCACTTTCCCTACGGAGACGGTGTTATCCAGGGCCGTGATGATGTTCACCACGCCCGCGGGGATCCCCGCGCGATGAGCGAGCTCGGCGAGGGCCAGCGCCGTCAGGGGTGCCTCGGCAGGGGCCTTGACGACAACGGTACACCCGGCCGCCAGCGCGGGGCCGACCTTGCGCGTGATCATGGCCGCGGGGAAGTTCCACGGCGCAATGAGGCCGCAGACGCCGACCGGCTCCTTGAGCGTCACGAGGCGGCAGCTCGGGTTACTCGCCTGGATGGTGTCGCCGTAGATCCGGGGCGCTTCCTCGGAGAACCATTCGAAAAAGGAGGCCGCGTAGCCGACCTCCGTCTTTGCGTCGGCCAGGGGCTTGCCGTTCTCCAGGGTGATGATCTTGGCGAGGTCGTCGGCGTTGTCCATCATGAGGTCGAACCATTTCCGGAGGAGGCGCGCTCTGGCGCGTGCCGGGGTCTTGCGGAAGGACTTGAAGGCATCGTGGGCGGCGAGGATGGATGCTTCGGTGTCGGCCTCGTCGAATTCGGGACACTTTGCTACCTCGGTGAGGGTTGAGGGGTCTGATGAGAAGTGTTAGCTTTGGCTGCCCATTCCGAGTACATGCGTTAGAAGTGTACTCACTCTCGACTGAAAAGACCTTTTCAGATTTGGCGCCAACCCATTGTCCGTTGACGTAGCATGATGTCTTCAGCAGAGAAGCATCTTTCAACTGTTGCAAACGAATAAGTACTATGTAAGCAACCGCATGACGTTCATCGACGGGCTCATGTCCTTTGACGGGAATACCCCACTTACTTGGTGTGCGACTGATGCCATTGTGAGTAAAAGTAATGCACCTCGATTTTGGTTCCTGCAGAAAAGTGGTCTGATGTCTACAACTCTACCGCGGTAAGCCGGACAGCCTCATGCGGTCGACTGTTTATATGAACTCTCTCACGATGGCGTCAAAGTTGGCGGCAATGCGATATCGTTGTGTCTGTCTGATACCGGTGTGGGAACGATAATTGTGGTTTTGAGTGGGACCGGCCCGGGCCCGGAGTGGGGCATTCGGAGGGGGGTTTTGACACATCTTGTGATTTGAACCCGCTGAAAATGGCAAGAAATCGGACCAATTCTGTACACTAAAACTTTCGCCCCGAAAACGCCTCAATGCACAATGCGTTTGAAATGAGCCGCAATCGGGATTTTGAGGATGGGCCATGCTAGATTCAATGGAGATTTGGCGGGGATTTCTCTTACGTCTAGGCCTGGGCCCGGATGGGGCGCCGGTTCGGGACCGGCCGGCTCGTGCCCGGCTCTCATAGATCGAGGGGCGAACGGAAGCTCTCGAACATGACCAAGGATGATAAATACTCGATCTCCCAACACTTAACGATTAGTTTCTTTATCAAACAAGCTTCACGAGTCTCTAGGAAAAACGGCAAACACTACATCGCATCTTCTCCAAGACTCGTTTACAAGATCACCACAGCTCAGTTGCTCAGATAAAGACCAGACCTTCAAGATGCCTGCCGTCATTGAGCACTCAGTCACCACGGAGGTCCCTGGACCTATCTCCAAGGCCAGCGCCAAGAAGCTCGACACCTTCTTCGACGCCCGCGCCATCCACTTCGTCGTCGACTACGACAAGAGCTCCGGAAACTAGTACGCAGCAACCGCACGGCTGTTTCGTTTGAGAGCCAAACTGACAACAATACTCTGCAGCATCGTCGACGTTGACGGCAACAAGTACCTCGATGTGTAAGTCTGATATCCCCCGCAGCCGCAGCCGCCGATCACCTCGCCCGGCACACCCATCGACCCGCATCTCGCTAATCTCCCCCTTCTCAAAACAGCTACTCCCAGATCGCCTCCATCCCGGTAGGCTACAACAACCCCACCCTCATCGCGGCCGCCAAGTCCCCCGAGATGATCTCCGCCCTCGTCAACAGACCCGCCATCGGCAACTTCCCCTCGGGCGCCTGGCACGACCTCCTCCAAGACGGCCTCATGAAGGCCGCCCCCGAGGGCCTCAACCACATCTTCACCGCCCAGTCCGGCTCCGAGGCCAATGAGCTGGCCTACAAGGCCGCTTTCATGCTCTACCGCCGCCGCGAGCGCGGCGAGGCCGAGTGGTCCCACGAGGAGATCCACTCGTGCTTGCACAACACCACGCCCGGTTCCCCCGAGCTGGCCATCATGAGCTTCAAGAACTCGTTCCACGGCCGCGGCTTCGGCAGTCTGTCCACCACGCGCAGCAAGGCCGTGCACAAGCTCGATATCCCGTCCTTCAACTGGCCTCAGGCTTCTTTCCCCGCGCTCAAGTACCCCCTGGACAAGTACGCGGCCGAGAACGAGGCCGAGGAGAAGCGCTGCCTGAAGGAGGTGGAGGAGCTGATTCAGAGCTGGCACTGCCCTGTTGCTGCTGTTATCGTTGAGCCTATCCAGTCCGAGGGCGGTGACAACCACGCTTCCCCCGCCTTCTTCCAGGGTCTGCGCGACATTACGCAGAAGCATGCTGTTGTCATGATTGTTGATGAGGTCCAGACTGGTGAGTAACTCTCGTTGACACGAAAGCTGTATGCAGTCGTACTCATGTGATTGGTAGGCTTTGGTGCCACTGGCAAGTTCTGGGGCCACGCTCACTGGAACCTGACCTCCCCTCCCGATATCGTCACCTTCTCCAAGAAGGCCCAGACTGCCGGCTACTACTTTGGCGACCGCATGCTGGTCCCCGACAAGGCCTACCGCCAGTTCAACACGTATGTTCCTCCAAATGTCCTCATGTCTCTTCAATCGTCGCTAACGAACCTGTAGCTGGATGGGTGATGCCGCCCGCGTCATCGTCTGCAAGGCAGTCATTGACGAGATCCGCGAGAAGAAGCTCGTGGAGCAAACCGTAAGTGAACTATTCCAGAAGCATGATGACTTACAACTCACACGTGTCACAGGCTCGTGTTGGTGAAGTCCTCTACGCCGAGATGGAGAAGCTCGCCCAAAAGTACCCTGACCACGTCATGAATCTTCGCGGCAAGGGCCAGGGAACCTACGTCGCCTTCGATACCCAGAGCGCGGCGGCCGTCACGGGCTCGATGAAGCGCCTCGGCGTCAATATTGGTGCTTGCGGCAAGGAGACCATCCGTCTCCGCCCCATGCTCATCTTCGAAGAGGCACATGGTGAGTCTTCTGAAGAAAGCCTACCATATCTTATATGACCAAAAGTCTAACATGCATCTCCACAGTTCCCATTTTGATCTCTGCATTTGAGAAGACCTTTTCTTCATTGTAAACAACAATTATCACGAAAGCATGGCATGGACGGGAAAACAAAAAATTGGCGGATTAGCATAGCATGGATTTACAGCTCCGACGGTAGACCCAAGGTGGGGATCACAGTATAGGAAGCTTCTCTTATTGATACCATAATGACAGAGCCGTTGATGGCCTTGAAAACTTAAATCACTCTCTACGCTCCTCACAATGAATTGTGTTGAAATGTGCAAACCTGAAAGATGGATGGCCGGCGCATGTTCTCCTGCTTAAAATTAGGCGTCACTTCATAGCTATCATCAATAGTTCCGACCTTCGTCCTGGTACGGATTGCTGACTCATGTAATTCTAGAAACGTCCTATAAGATCAAGCATCTAACAGCTACTTTACCATTGATCGTTGAGTCTCAATCCTCCTCAACGAGCAAACCACACATTTCAGTGTACCCATTCAGAATACCGATTCCCACGACCTTTGTCCAAAAGATGGGCTGTCGGGTAAACCAACCACCGCAAAGCACAATCTGAGTCGGGGAGGGGATACTGACGACCGGGCGGAATCAACGGGTAGCGCGGCCGGCGGCCGGTAGCTTATCATGCAACAGCCGGGAATTGCCTGCGATGCCTTTTTCGGGGCTCCCCCCTCTCGGGACTGAACGCCCCGTCGAGTGATACGCAACCGGTTCGTCGGATCCGCCAGAGCAGCCGGCTGGGGTAACAGGGGTCTGTCGCGGCAATGGCAAATGCTGCGGTACCCCGCTCATCCCCGCGGGCCCAGGCGCCGAGATAGGGCGATGAGGCGCGCCGGTGGTGAGGCTATCTATAGCCTAAGTGTCTTATTCATGGATGAGATGTTCGTGATATAAACCTTTAAGACCATATTTGCAATCATACAAACTTACCATACTCAAAAGAACTTCTTCGCACAATCAAAATCACTTTGTGAATACTCATTCACTATCGCACACACACACACACACACACACACATCACACAAACCCAAACATGTCATCACCAAGGAAACACGTCGTCTTCGACATCGTAGGCACCTGCATGTCCTACGACGCCATCCCCCGCGCCATCGAGACCCGCCTCGGCCCCAAACTCGCAGAACACAACATCAAGCCCGCCCTCCTCAGCTTCGCCTGGATCGAGGCCGCCGAGCGCGAATACACCTACCTCTCCATCCAAGGTCGCTACCGCCGCTTCTACGACATCTTCCGCAGCCTCTTCTACCGCATGCTCTTCCAAGCCGGCGTCCCGGAACCGCGGAAGCTCGCCACCGACGACGACGTGGCCTACATCATGGACCGCTTCCTCGAGCTCGAGGCCCGACCCGGCACAAAGGAGTGCTTCACGCTCCTGCGCGAGGCCGGCTTCACGGTCTGGGCCTTCACGGCCGGCGACGCGAAGCGCGTGGGCGGGTACTTTGCCAAAGCGGGCATCGACATGCCCGCGGAGAACCTCAAGAGCTGCGACGCGGATGGCATCGGCAAGCCGGATCCCAGGGCGTATAAGCCCGTGCTGGAGAGCTTTGGCGGGGAGGAGGCGTGGTTCGCGGCCGCGCACATGTGGGATGCGTCGGCGGCCAAGGGGTGCGGGTTCAAGGGGGCGTGGTGCGCCGTATACGAGGGGGAGCCGTGTACGGATTTGTTTGGGGAGATGGACGTCATGGCGACCGAGTTGCCGGAGATGGCGCGGAAGATTATAGCCGCGTCGGAGGGGGCGGCCGCGGCGTAAACGGCGTAATGGTAAGGTATTCGTACTCTCCTAGAGGGGAGGGGGTTCACGGGATGTTTGTTTCCTCGGTCTCGCACTCTAAGCGGCAAACCCCCGTAAGAATGAACAAAGTGACCAATCTTCATGCATTGCTTCCTACCGTGAGGAAGATATCGTTCTTGGATGTTTGATTGGAGCTGATTCGCTGTGCATACCTTGCATGTCACTGGACGCCTGCGATTTGCTTATCATGCTAAGAGGGGGGAAAGACAAAGAGAACCGGCAAATTGCCGGTCCCGTACTCCCCGCCGCCGGTTCGGCCTCCGGTCTCGGCCACTCGCCGTGTTTTCCGTCACAACGCCCCCAAGAAACGCTAATACCCACCCGTGACCCGGAGCTGGGACCAAAGAGATATCGGTGGGGATGGATCCCATGCCCGAATCATCTTATCTCGGTTTTCCGACTTCAATGCTCCTTATCAGTCCCAATCGAGCATCAACGGCACGTTTGTTGAACGAAAAGGTGCCGGTTCGTTTTGATGGTAGCGCCAGCCCAAAGAAGCGGCTTCTGCTCGCTTGTCTCCCCCAACATTGGTATATAGAAAGTCCACACATATTGCTTATCAGTCCGAGCCTCACTTCTAGCCTGCCCAGTAAACCTTTGCCCCTCCTTTGTGAAGAAGAGACCCGGAAGAAGCCTGCCAAGCCCACCTACCGCCTCTCATCCAGCCCATCCAGTCACATCCCAACGCCATGCCCGCACCAAGGCCGACGAACCGGAACCCGGTTCCCAACCCCGTCATCTCCTTCTGGAACGCCGCGCCCCGGGCCCTAGACGACCACCGCACAACCCCGGAGCTCCCTGCTACGAGCGACATCGTCATCGTCGGCGCCGGCTTCGCGGGCGTCGCCACGGCCTACCACATCCTCAAGGACAACCCGTCCCCGCCGTCCATCACCATCCTCGAGGCCAGGAAGGTCTGTTCCGGCGCCTCGGGTCGCAATGGCGGGCACGTCAAGCCCGACACGTATTTCCAGGTGCCCAAGTACACCAAGCTATTTGGGCCCGAGCAGGCGGCCAAGTTGGCTGCGTTTGAGGCCTCAAATGTGTATGCCGTCAAGGAGCTTGTAGAGAGCGAGGGGCTGGATTGCGATTTTCATCTGACGCGGGCGGTTGATGTGTATCTTGACCCGGAGCATGCCAAGGAGACTGAGGCTGCATATCGGGAATTAGTCAAGGCGGGCGTTGTGGATATGAAGGATGTTGCCTTCACTCCCAAGAAGGACGCCGAAAGGGTAGGTCTATCTGCTCCCCTTACATCGATGGTGAAAGATCTAGCCTCATCATCCCAATGCAGGTTTCAGGGGTGAAAGGCGCGCAGTGCGCCTTCTCCTTCACGGCAGCACATCTATGGCCAGCAAAGATGGTCCACCAGCTCCTAGACCGCCTCCTCCAAAAGGGGCTGAACCTGCAAGCCAACACGCCAGTAACATCAGTATCATCGACGCCCGACGCCGCCGGCCGCTGGACAGTCCAGACCCCGCGCGGCACCATTAGCGCAGGTAAAGTCGTCGTAGCCACAAACGGCTACACGGCACAAGTCCTCCCGCAATACGAAGACCGCATCGTCCCCGTCCGCGGCCTCTGCAGCCGCATCACCAGCCCGGGCGGCCCCAACAGCCCGCACCTGGTCAACACGTACGGCATCCGCTTCGACGCGCGGAACAACGACTACCTCATCCCGCGAGCGGACGGTAGCATCGTCGTCGGCGGCGCGCGGCAAATGTTTTGGCATAAGCGGGGGGAGTGGTTCGACAACGTCCGGGACGACGAGCTGGTCAAGGGCGCGGCGCCGTACTTTGACGGGTACATGCAGAGACATTTCCGCGGGTGGGAGGAGAGCGGCGCGACGACGGAGAGGGTGTGGACGGGTATCATGGGGTATAGCTCTGATTTTATGCCACATTTGGGCGGTGTGCCTGGGAAGCCGGGGCAGTTTATCATTGCTGGGTTTTCTGGCCACGGGATGCCAGAGATTCTGCTTTCGAGTAAGGGTGTGGCGGCCATGATTCGTTATGGGGCTTCGTTTGAGAGCACGGGGCTGCCGAGTATCATGGAGACGTCAAAGGCGAGGATCGAGAGGAAAGATAGTCCTCTTGAGAACGGGCTCAAGTCTCTGTGGGAGGATGACTTGAAGGCGAAACTGTGAGCGATTTGTATCCATAGCACGGTGGTAATTGATAAAGATGCCAAGTTAATATCACATTGGGTTACTCTGTACAATTCTGTTACTCGTGCTCGTCAATTTTGTTCGTTTTCATTCTCACGTCCCCTCCAACGAATTGAATAATCACCGACTGCATCTCTCAAGACCAACTGTCCAACAACACGATGTCGATTACTCACAGACTCTACTCCATAGACTTCGGTCAAATCCCCCCTATCTCCGCATCACGAGTCAAGTTAACTCCAGATTCTCAGGTTCCAGGGATCTTTCCTCATGCACCATTTCGGCTCCGACCGGGATGTAGCCGGCTTCCCCGCGTCTTGGTCGCGAAAAACAGCGGGTCCGCTCCTCTCCGACCCCCCGCCGACCGCGGCGCTGGAGGTTTCGCCGAAATTCTGCCTCCCCGACCCCTCCCCCTTCTGGGAAAATGGGCGCGCGCGGCGGTGGAGGAAGAGGGAAACTAAGACTCGGACGGAGAGAGTCAGCACTGCCAGCAGGCCTATCTTAGCTCCCCCTCTACACACACACACACACACACACACACACACACAAACTTGGAACAACCACTCTCGTTCACTCACTCATTCCCGTTCTTTATCCACCCGCATACCTTGCCCACTCACTTCCCGAGGAATTGCAAGGGCATTGAGAAAGAGAGAGAGAGAGAGAGACCCAAGACAAGACCAGACCTTCCTTTCTGAACACGGACTCTTCGTTACGGCGGGGTCACTTGGGAAACACTTTCCGCGGAGAGTTAAACAAACCTCCCCTACACACAAAGAAGACCAAGCCAGAGAGACAACAGAGACAGACACACACAGAGAGAGTCCTCTTCCACCGGCCCGGGTCCTCGCCTGGCCCTGTCGATCGGCACTGTCCGCTCTCTCCCTTCTCACTACAGTCCTCTTATCGGCTATTGCGACCCCAAAAAGAAGTTGTAGATGGATCCCGAGGACGGCCTGCGCCTGCAACGACACAAGCAGCGTCGCGTAGCGGATAAGGAGCGGAAGAGGGCAGTTCGAGCGTACGATGAAGCCCATTTCTTTTTTTTTTCCTTTTTTTCCTTTTTGTCCCTTTTCATTACTAGTTACTCGGTCCCGTGTCAATTGATGTGAGAGAACCTCCCCCATGCTGACGCGACCAAGCTGTGACGGATGTCGGCGACTCAAGGAAAAATGCGACGGAGGAGTTCCTTGCCGCCGGTGCACCCGTCTGCGCCGGCAGTGCGAGTTCCTCACGCCCACGACGAGAGATGAGCCCGGATCAGAGAACTCAACGAGGTGAGAACTATTAGAACTTCAAATCTCCTTTTGTCTCCCATCCTTCCTAAATTCAATATTGCTATGAGATCCCCCTCAATGCGATATCTGCGTGCCCTCCATTTGGTTTGCGCCAATAAAACATCTGGCTGACGAGGCCGGATGGACAATAATAGACCCCGCCCCCCTCAACATCATGAGGACGCCCAGAGAATGTCCTACATGGAGCGGCTCCTGGCGCACTACACCGGCAAGAGCACCCTCGATGCCGAGACTCTAAAGACTTTGGCCGAGTCCGTGGAGAAGATGAAGTCGTCTGGTCGACCACGCACCGGCCCGGACGGCGCGGTGACCGGGGCCGGCGGTGGTGCTGGTCCTGAAGCGGATGTCACCATGGAGCCGGACGTCGGCACCGAGGCAGAGGTGCAATCGCAGAGCTCCGACTCCTTCAAGGTCGACGAGATAACGGTTCAGCCTTTGGAGAACAACATCACACGTAAGGCGGGCCCCCTTCTCTCCCCCCCCTTTCCAATCCCCTCCCCTCACCTTCCCCTGCTCTACGCCTCCCCCTTCCCCGGGACCGCTTCCCCGGACCCTCAACAGGGCTCGGCGTTAGCATCCCGAAGGACCTCTCTCCGAAGACCGCCATATTGACAGCCGAGTAGATTACTCCGGCGAGTTCTCACACTGGAACTTCTCCATGCGGATAAAGCAATGGATCGAACAGTGTGTAAACGTAAGCAACCCCCTTCTCGTCACAGAAACCTATACCACGTGGGCAAATACTGATCCCCCTCTCACAGGACGCCCCGGATGGTCCAAAGACACAATTCAAAGAATACTACCGCCCAGAAGAACTCCAGTCCCCCTCCAACACAGTAGCCTCCCTCTCCTCCCTCCCGCCCCGCTACGTCGCAGACTTCCTCGTCCAGGCCTTCTTCAACCATGCCGAGACGAGCTACTTTTACGTCGAGCGCCACTGGCTCATGGACAGGCTCGACCTCGTGTACGAGAACTCGGCCTCCCTGACGCGCCGCGACGTCGGCACCGTTTGCATGATCCTCATCATCTTCGCCATCGGCACGCAGTACGCCTACCTGGACTCCCGGAATGAACGGGGCGGCCCGCCGAGCGCCGCGGCCGACTCGAGCCCCTTTTCGGAGGATACCATCGGCATCATGTTCTACCAGCAGGCGTGCCGGCTGGTCCCCGACGTGATCACCATCTCGTCGCTCGAGAGCGTCCAAGCGTGTCTGCTCATCGGCCTGTATACGTTACCCCTCGACGCCTCGGGGCTGTCGTACGTCTACCTGAACCTGGCGGTCAAGCTCGCGATACAGAATGGTATGCATCGGAAGCATCCCGGGGCCGCCATTGATCCTGTTATTCGTGAGACAAGGAACCGTGTATGGTGGACGGCCTATACGACGGAAAAGTGAGCATATCTTTGTCCCCGAGTTTACTCATTGCTTCTCACACATTGACTTTAATCTCCCAGGCGTATCGGCATATTCCACGGCCGGCCAGTATCCATCGCAGCAAGTGACGTCGACGCCGAACTCCCAGTCGACAGACCAGAAATCTGGCCCGGTTCAGCGCCGCCAAACACGGCACACATGCTAGCAACCCTCCAGCTCAACAACGCCCTCAGCAGAATAGCTCACCAAATGTACCTCTTCCCCAACTCATCCCCCCCTTCCCCTTCATCTCACTAACATCCAACGCCCTCTAGATCCCTCTTCAAAACATTTGAAAAGAATGAAATCCCAGAAGGCATGGCCAAACTCGTCGAAATGAAAGCCCAACTCCACAACTGGTGGAACAGCCTCCCAGAACCAACCTTTATCAAAGATCCAACCACCGGCCCCGCCGTCTTCCGCCCAACAATGCATCTGAGGCTAGAATACTGCCTCGTCCGCATGTTCGCCGGCCGCCCCTTCATCTTCCCCCGTGACTCGGCTCACCGCGGCAGCACAGCAAGCTCCTCCGGATCCCCCGCAGACTCCGTCGCCATGACAGTCGCAGGCGGTCCTTCTTCCGGCGGCGGTGCCGGTGCCGGTGGTGCCGGCGGCCGCGCCACAACTAGCAGCTCAACCAGCAAAACAACACACCCGCGCGCCGTCCTCGTAGCAGACTGCGTCGACGCAGCCCTCTGCGTCGTAGAAACGTGCCGCCTCCTTCGCAACACAGTCGGCCTCGCCCGCGCCTCGTACACGGAATTCTCCTCGTGCCGCGCCGCGCTGCTCGTCATCATCACGCAGTGCCTCCAAAAGAAGACGGACCGCCTCCGCGACGCACTACGGGAAGGCATGGCGATGCTGAGGGAGATGTCTGCCGGCGGGGAGTCTGCGAAATCGGAAATGTCGCTTATTGAGGCCTTTGAGCGCGCTATTTCGAGGTTGGATATGGCTGATGAGTCGAATGGTGGTGGCGGGGGCGCGGGTGGTGCGTCCGGGGTGAAGGAGACTGATTATGCGAGGTTTAAAAAGTGGGAGATGTTGTGGAAGACGGATACGCCTGCGCAAGGGCAGGGACAAGGTGGTGATGCGAGGAGCGAGAGGGATGGGCTTGATGGCGCGGGCTTGCCGATTCCGCCGCATCCTGCGGGTTTGTGGCGGGGAGGAGGACACGGGCATTCCGGGGGAGGAGGCGGAGGTGCCGGAGGAGGAGGAGGGCATGTTGCGCCCGGCGCGGGGCGGCAGGGTACGGCGTCGTTGCCGCCGGCGATGCCATTCTTCGGGCTCGATGGGAGTCTGTCGCCGATGCCGCCTGCGCTCGACGAGTTCTCGGCCATGTTTGGGAACGGATACGTGCCGGGGTTTGAAGGTATGGGCGGAAGTGTAAACGGGAACTGGATGGGTCTTTGAGTTCAGGTCGGAGGAAAAAGGAAAAGAGGAATCAGTCGATCGAGAGACATTGCCTAATCACGGCCGGCGGAGTCTGGAGTTTGCGTGTCTGTGTTGTGTTCGTTCCAAGCATCTCATCTAGGTACCTGCCTTGGATGTCAAAATATCTTCATCTCGACCATACCTTCCACACATAGAATCCCTACCTTTCATCTGAATACACGAGAAAGGTATATACCCCCCCTCAAGTCCAATCCTGTCACCAGCCAGCAGACGCCCCTTTGGGGGTCAGGTCAAAACTGGCTGGTTGGTGGAGTGGTTGAAGTCCACGAACAGCCTAATCGGTGAAGGCTTTCAGAGGTCCCGTGTTCAAATCCCAGCTGCAAGGTAATACGTGATGTGACGGCGTATCTGGACTTGACGAATCTTGCTTGGTATCAAGTAGAAGGCAAGGAAGGGGTGGGAGGTCGGTTTTCTTTTGGAAGTCGTCTTAGGATGCCGTGCCGTATTAAACAAAAAAAGAGGCGTCACTGTTCAACAAGAGGCGGTGTATCAGTGTGAAAAGTGGCCTGACTACCACACTGACGGCCCTTAGAGATGGCCTTATGCCCGGCCTTCTGCAGAAAACCGAATTATGTAGGACCGCGAAGCCAAGGAGTAAGAACGTAATACAGAGTAAAAGAGGGGAGAAAACAGCTCATGTGATAGACTCGAACGTTCTGTACGGCAATCTACAATTTGTGTAGAATGACCTTAGGTACTCAGATGCTGGATTTGGCATTGGACAAATTCAGGGCATTTGCCGGTTGCACACACCTCAAGATGGACATCACAGCAGAATTATTGAGTACAGGGAGCAATTACGTGCATACTACTGCATCAATATCTCAAATGTGGTCCTTGTCATGTGGTAAATATAAGACGACCGAGAGGGTCAATACCTCACCTATGTGAGTATCTACATTGAGGATTTAATTGAGAACTAAAGTAACAAAACTGTATCTCATCATTGCCACAGATACTAAACACACTAAACTGTCCCATTGCTTCACTGGTTATTTCTCTTCACCCATCTTGTTCAACACATCCAACCCAAACGCTCCCTTCACTCCGTCGGATCCCGTCCACCCTGCGCCGCCATGTTCCTCTCATACTCCTCATCCGACTCAAAGTCAATCTCGGCAGGCAGCGTAATCGGCACAATAGGGATCCCGTTCTCTTCAAGCTTCTTCAGTCTGGCCGCCGTCTCGGGCCTCGACTTGTTGATGCTGTACACCTTGATGCGGTGCGCCGAGGACGTTACATGCAAGTCCCAGTTCCTGTAAAAGTCTCGTCGTCAGTCTTGAGATTATCATTCATCTGAAAGCCCCTCTGTCCACGAACCCCAGATAGAAAGGGGAAGATATAGGACTATGTTGCCAAAGAAAAGAGAAGAGAAAAGGAGAAATGGGGCAAACATACCAAGCAGACCTCACAAAGGTAGGCTGCGTATTACACGCATTATCCCACGTCCTCACACAAAACTCCAACCACCCCTCCGCGTCAACAGGCATCTCAATCTCCCACAACCGCCACGCATGGAAATACTTGCCGCTCATCCTCTCCCACGGAACCTCATACCACACCCCGCCCCCATCACCGCTCACCTCCACCCGAACAGGCCAATGCCCGCCCCCCGAATACGCCCACCCCCTCAACTTCATCCGCCCCTCGTGAACAATTTGATCCATATCCCGCGGCGTCATAATCGCAGAGCTCACAGGCATCTCCTGGATCGAGAACCCGTTGCTGTACTTGACATTCTGCTTCCCCACCTGCGGCGTGTAGTAGATATACTCCCGCCTCTGCACCGGCGCGCTGCTCTCGCTCGCAATAGCCCGGATCCGCGTCAACCACTTTGTGCTCCGCGCCCCAATGTACCCGAACACCACCGTCCGCAAGGGAAACCCGTGGATCCGGGGCAACGGCTCCCCATTCATCTCCCACGCCAACAACACCTCGTTCGCCTTCACCTTCCGCCACGGCACGCTCACGACGTAATTATACACTTTTCCCTTTTTGAAATACGTATCCGCGCCGTAAAACTCCAAGTGGCCTGCGCCGTCCTTTAACCCGCCGCAGTACTTGATCACTTTTTTGAGCGACACCCCCGTCCACCGCGCCGTGCCGATGGCGCCTTCACCCCAGGGCGCGTTGATGAGTTCGTCGCCGTCGCCTGGGTACTGCGCAATCTGCTCGATGCGCCGCGTGCCAGAGCACTGGATCGAGACGACGCTGGTCTGGTGCTTAAATTTGGTCTTGAGGTCGTGCAGCGTGAGCGTTTTCGGGTCGTTGACGAGGCCGGCTATGTCGAGGGTGTATTTCGTTTCGTCGATCTCGGGGATACCGCCGTGGTTGCGGACAAAGTGGTCCTTGTTTGAGGTGATTTCCGTTTCTACGAGGCGTTTCTGCGGTTTCCGAATGTCAGGTTTTGTTTTGTTTTTGGTCCGCCCAGTAGAAGGAAAATCTCAAGTACAAAGGTTGAGTGTGACTTACGCGAGGAGGCTCGCCGTTGTAAGGGAACTGGAGCACGTGAATCATGTCTTCTGCCTTTTCCTTCTTGACGATATCCCAGCTGACCTCGGGGATGTGGCCCAGCCCGCAAGCGTAGTGGTACTGTTTCCATCGCTCACCCGTGAGGATGGGATTCGTATCAGGCAGCGGTCCTAATTGATACTGGGGTGGCTAAATACAGGCACAGAAGAATCAGTCAGCTGGGGGCTCTATTAAACACATAACTGCGCCGGACATTGACATATTCACACTCACATCCGGAAAGTCGTACTGCCTCATGAGCTCTTCAACCTGCTTCTGCTTCTCAGGATACTTCTCCCATTCGATGTACCCCTTCCAACCCTCCCTCTCCTCTTTAAAATGAGGCGTTTTGCCCTTCGCCTTGAAGGCAATCGCGTGGGGTTCAGCAGGAGCCATGGTGGTGCAATGTGCCCAGATGGGAAAAAGGAAATATGAGAGTGCAGAGTTCTACACACAGCCGCCCTAGGATAAGAAGCTAACAAGAGAAACGGGGAAAGACGTCGTTAATAAAAGTAACGGGCCTGTCGTCCAGAGTCACCCCAATAACAAGCCAGAAGTCAATCTCGCGCACTGGCGAAATTCCCTCCCAAGAACCGTGGTATCTCTCAGGTAAAGTTCAAATCCGAGTGATGAGCCAGCCAATAGCCAGCCGTCCATTGTCAGTCTGATGCCGTCATGAAGACATCAAACAACTCTCTTCTTCCTCCGGAAAGCCACTGCCGCGGCCGGCGCTAGCAACCCGCATTGCAGAAATGTGTCAGCGTTGCAGGAGCCATGTCACCTATTGGCCCCCCACGCGAGGAGCAATCAACTTCAGTCTTCAGATCGGGAATCTTGGTTGCAGAGGTCTAGCCAAAGCCAAGAATTATACCGTGGATGCGGCAGCCGGCCGTTGTGCTACCTACTCCACTTAATCATGACGTTGATCGCCCGGTTCCCCCCCTGTCGATATGTCAAAACAAGCATTTGCCGTTTGGAACGCTATCACTAGACTCGGTCAAAAGTCGGCGATAGTATCTGGCGTTCGACGGGAAACCGATGAGGAAGCCGGCCGGCAGGCATTGACAAGCATGATGGGTACCGAAAATGATGAGTTCGGGGTTTGAACATTAGGGATGTATATTCCGAGCGATCCGCGATGAAACGAAAGGGTAATCTAGGTAATGTGCTCCTCTCCTTAACGCCGTCAGCGTCCCATCATAGCCGCCTGCCAGAAAAAAACCAAAACAATGCAATGTCCTGTCGGACGGAAAACTGACAAGAAGCCACAGTTCAAACTGGGACTTCATGAACCTCTGACCTTCTACCGCCCTTTAGTGATGTTTCACCCTCTTTGGGTATCGCCTCCCCTTTACACCCATCCTTTTTATCAAAATCTCTTTACTGCAGAACAGCGCCGCTCACTCTCCGGCCAACAGTCTTGATAGTTGAGTATTGTCCGTTGGCGCCCATGACGTCGAAACGACTCACGCTCATGGCATCCTCGGTATACCCTGAGAAGTAGTAGCCCACAATGACTACAAGGTAGCTAAGCAGCAGAATGCTGCCCTTGAAATAGTTGCTCTTTCCTTCACCATACATGTAGCTTAGGAGGAACACGCAGATAATGACCGTCACCATGTCCCACTGGGGGAACAGGAGTGAGAAGGTGTGCGCAGCGACGTCTTCGAAACGATCAGAGGTGACGTAGATTGCAGAGAATAGCACAAGGGCTGGGACTTGCAGCAAGCAAACTTGCAGCGCATAGGCAGAACCAATCTCCATTGAGAGCGCAATATTGCCGTTCATAGCAAACGAAATGGCGTTCTACAAAGCGTTAGTTAATATCAAAATGTGGATTAGCAGGTCAAACATACCAAAAACTCGGTCGTGTTGGGAACCAGTGCAAAAAGTGTGATGCCCAAGAACTTCTCATCGATAGCAAAGCCCTCAAGAACGACGTCTACAGTGTCCACCAGGATCTCGGCAATGATAGCATAGAGTACGGTAGCTCCCATGAGGATGAAGGCACTCTTGCCTCGGCTCCAATTGGGAGCGTCGTGTCCACCATGGGGTGCTTGGACAGTGCTGGCTGCTGCGAGTTCTTCGTTATCGGCAACCGTAGCGGTACGCAGAGCCGGAGGGCGGGAGGAGGTAGCAGCAGTTGAACCTGCGGGGAGAGCCGAGGTTCTGCGAGGCATTCGCTCCCTTGCAGCAATTGTAGCTGCAGTGGCCGCCATCTCTGCTACCTCTCGGACCAAAGCGTTGTTCTCCGCCTCTGAAAACCCAGGGATATGGACAGTAGAGCGGACCGTATCGCTCCCACTGGACTTGGGAGGAACGACGTGCGGAATACTGACGCTGCCATTGCCAGCACTCAATCCCAATCCGGTGACGGACCCCTGGCGAGAGCCGTCATCTTTCTTGTTTGCAAGGCCAACCTGCTTCAGCGACTGACCGAGGATGCGTTTGTAAAGATGAGAGTCGCGGACGTCGACCGAGGTGCCGGTGGTCTCGGCAAATGAGTGAGGACCCGACTGTCTGGCATGAGCATGCGCATGAGCGTGTGCATGTGCCTCTTCGTGCTTCTTCTCGTCAATTTCAGAGTTCCAAATGACTGCAGCGTGGGTTCGCAGAGTGAACCAGAGTCCCACAATGTAGGAGAGGAACAACAACGTGGCGCAGAAGTAGCAGAACGGGCGGACAGCCTCAAGATAGAAACGATCATTCAGCGCCGGAGTCTGGGAGAAGAAGCATCGCTTGCAGTCGCGCCCATCACCAACAGGAGACAGACCTCCTCCAATGCCGCCGTGGTTGACACAGTCCAAACAGTTGAGCTCGTGAGTGCCGTAGATTTGGTAGAAGAGCGTGGGGCCAAAGGCGCCGAGGACTGCGAAAAGCAACATCGTCGAAGTGACACCGGCGGATCTGGCGTTGAAGCGCTGCGTCTTGCGCTTGATGGCACCGAAACACATGGAGAGGCCGGGAAGGAAAAGAATACCGGCAAAAATGCTTCCCACGATACTGCCTTCCACCAGTTGACCTTTGCCTTGGCTCAGGGCAACGCAGTAAAGGAACACCTCAACAATGGTGGAGAAGAAAGCATTGATGGCAGCACCAACACCCATCGAAGACTGTGCCGAGATGGAGGCGACGGCTTGGCCGATGAAGTAGGCGAGCGGAACGATGGAGAATAAGCCGGCAATGAAGAGGAAAGCGGGTGACGTGATAAAGAGCTCCAAACCAAGAACTTGGTCGAGAACGAGATAGTCAAAGATGACGAAGAAGACAACTCCCATGAGGTTGATCAAGAACACGTTCGTGCCGTCAATGGTATACTTCCAGTACTTGATACCGACAGCGCGGTACGTGCACAGCAAGATTGACGAGTGCGGCGTGTCAGCTGTGCGGGCGAGAACAATATCAGACTCGAATGAGAGCGCCAAGGGGTGGCGGCGCAATTGGTCGAAAAGCAGCATGGTGACCTTGCCCATTGGGATCGAGAAGACGAGGAACCAGCAGATCAAGGATACCAGGATCAATGAGGGTGAGAGCAAGAGGTAGAAGAACAAGAAGAAGACGACACGTCCAATGTTCCACTGGCCTCTTCCGAATAAACGGCGCTTGATCTGGGGTGGTGTCTGGCTTCGCTCCCCGCGTCGAGAACGGCCTAGGAGGCTATCAGTCTCGCTCGGCTCCGAATCGATGCTCCTTCGCGAGCGTCCAACAATAGATCGGCTGCGTTCGGATCCCTCTGGACCAAAGAAGAGGCGGCCGTATTCCAGATCGCCACTCTGCCACTGCTCATACTCGGAAATGCTTCGTCCTTCACCTTGGTCCTCGTCAAGGTAGGCGTCATCCTGCTCCAGGCGCACATATTTGCCGAATGGATAGAAAAGGTAGCCAGCCAAGCCCCAGAGAACTCTGCCGTATTCCCTACCACTAGGAGTTGCTGCGAACAAGAAGCAAACCAGGGCGCCGAGTGCCGAGAAAGCAGCCATCCACCAGCCAAACAACAAGGTCCAAAGAAGATTGAAGAAGACAAGCCAGGTGTGAACTCTTCCGCCAGGCGACGAATGGATATCGCCCTCGGCATTCTTTTGCACCGAACGATCTTTCTTGTACAACGCAGGCTTCCACAACCTGATGCCAAAAGGATGGGTCTGGTTGATGGCCTGCTGACGATCCTTGAGCGTGAAGCTCTCGGCGTCGCTCACGTCGCCATCTGACTCGGCATCAATGTCCTCTTCATCAGGGTGTATCGAAGGAACGCGCTCAGCATCATCGGGGGTTTCGTCGTCAGCTCTCGGCGTCCGTGGACCATCTTCGACCTCATCATTGTCGTCGTCGTCATCGACTCCAGTGTCGCTGCGGGAAGATTGGACGCGCGACAGTGTGGTGGCCAGTTGAGGTCGGCGGCGGGTGCCAAAAGCGGTGCTGCCCTGGCGGCTTTGATGGCGACCAACGGCATCTGCCTCGACCTCGTTGATATCGTCGTCAACAGAAAAGAACTCGCCGCGGTGTGGTGCTGATGGGTTGGTCGACAGTCGACGGGGCATGGGGGGCTTTCGCGGCTTCGCAGCTTTGGGGCGTTCGGGACCCATCATGGGCGATCTAGCACTAGCAGTTGTTGTTGAGCGAGAATGCGATCGATCGTGGGCAGACGGGTCGCCCAGGTATTGAGAGCCGGAACCTTGGGTATGTATAGAACCTGCAAGCGCACGGGGGTATGATATCAGCCAGGGGTTTTTCGCGTTGGGCGACTGGGTAACTCGGACGACCAAGACTTGTTTGGTTTCTGGGCATGCAACACAAGCAGCGGGTCGTACATACCGTAGCCACCACCTTCTGGGCGCCTCCGCACCGTGTCGGTGGACTGGAAGGACTGAAAACTTTCGGACAGACCTTCGTCGCGGGAGGCGACATATGAGTCGAACCTTGAGGGCTGATGACGAGTATCAGTGGGTGATGCGGTGGTCGAGCTATCGTGGGACTGATGAGATGGATGGGACGGTGTGCCCGGCCCTGTTGAGGGATCCATGGTGGGCGACAACGAATAGGGCGACGAAAGACCGCGCAGCTGTTTGGGGACGATGGAGCAAGATGGGTGGAGGAGATTGGCAAGGTGCCGGAGATGTGGGTTATCAGTGCAGGCGCAGGCGCGGGACGAGACGGCAAACCGGGGGTGGGAGAAGAGAGCGTCGGGTTGATGATTTCCAGCTTGGAATTCTCGATGTTTTGCTGTCTTGGAACGGCGAGCTGGTGATTAAGCGATATGAGGAGAAGAAACTTGGAAGGGGAAGAAAAAAGATGTATTGTTGTGTGTCTGTGCCAGTTAAGGTGGTGTACGAGGTGCGGTTGGGTTTAGGTAGGTCCAGGTCCAGGTCCAGGTTCAGGTTCAGGTTCAGTCAGGTTTGGGCTCAGTCCAGTGAGAAATGTGAGGATTACTCGGAGAGCCCGATTATGGGTCGAGAAGTCGGTGACGGTGTGTGTCGGTGTCGAGGCCACCCCAGCTGGATATCTGACGGGTCTCAGTCTGGTAGCCGAAGGCTTATTGCTTATAAACAATGGAGAGGGAGGACTCGGAGAGAGAGAATTGAACAGACGAGCCAGGAACAATAGGTGAGGCAGGCAGACCGCAGACGGCAGACCGTACGTAGTAGGTAGGTGGCCGTGGTGGTGTGGTGTAAACAAGCTAAGTATCCGTAGAAGGTGACCAAAACACACAAGCACACGATGGGGAAGAAAAGGACGACCGGGGGATGAGAATGAGAATGATGATGGGATGATTAGACCTAGTGTCTATGAGGTTCGAGAAGAAAAGTGCGGACTTGTTCCATTCCCGAGCGGTAGAAAATGTTTCTTGGGCAAGGTACAGACGGACACACAGACAACGGGAACCTTCTATCTGTAAGGTAGGTAGAATGTCGAATAAGAAGTACGAAGCACTAGGTATCGATGGATGACCCGAATCACCGATGCTGCAATTTGTGGTGGTGGTGGTGGTGGTGGTCGCTGGTGGAAGAGGTGGTGGAGCAGGAGTTCGTACCATGGAAGCTACTTGCCGGCTAACGGTGGGTGCTAGGTAAGCTAAGGTACCTATTGTGTTCCACTGGGATCTACCTCAGTACTTACCTTACCTTACTCTCTAAGTCTCTCTGGTGTGTGTGTGTGTGTGTGTGTGTGTGTGTGTGTACCTCAGGTACTCCGTACTTGGAGGAGAGGAGGGAATGCTTGGGTCTCTCCTCCCCCAGATTCACACATATTTACGGAGCAACACGCCTCATTAAGGTGAGGAACTTGCAACAGCCCGGAAGCACTGGGCAAGGCAGTGGAGGAGTTGGAGGTGGGATGGAATGTCTGAGTCAGGCGCTGCCCACTGTTGATCAAGCCGCAACCCCAAGTCTCTCAACTGACGGTCATGTGTGCTCTCTGGATGGCCTCAGATGGCGACTCTCCTCGCAGAAAAGCATGGAAGATGCTTTTATTGGCCCCGCGAGAGGAGCGAGGGCCACCGCGAGGCTGTTTCTCCTCCGCAATGTACTTGTCATCGGGGCCGAAAGACTGGGGAAGATGGACAGGAGATCCCTCGTTTGTCAGTATTGCCAACAGGCATGGCCGGTTTGGTAGCCTTTGGTTGGTGTTTACACTTGCGACTTGCACACACACACACACACACACACACACACACACACACACACCTACGGATACAGTCTCTACACACAACACACGCACACTTCTTTTCTTCCCTTACTTGTAGCGGGCAGTTGATAGGAACAAGGTGCCAAGGTAAAAGGGTACATGCACATTGAGTCGTGCAGCGGCACGCAATTTGGGGGAGGATTACCTTAGGTTCCCGAGTGGAGATCACTGGTGCTTTGCAAAGGCACGCTGCGCACCTCACTTGGGGCTCGAGGGGGAAGGGGATACCGGTAAACCCTTGGATTCAGCGTGAAGCCGGCGAGGAAGCGGACGGTGGAACGGGAGCATGGATCATGGACCCCGTCCCGAACCAGACTAGCGCCCGCGTGCTTCAAAGTCGCCGCTGGCGCAGGGTGCAACCTCCCATCAGCCGCGACTGGCGAACCTCGAACACTCGAGTCCCTGCTCCCAGTGCCCATCCTCTTTCTATCGGGGTCCGTTGCGGCGTCGCCTCCCACACCTTCAGCACTCCTCCCGTCTCATCCTCGACTCGACCTCACCTCACCTCACCTCACCTCCACCTGCCATACCAGGCTTCCGCGGCTATCACCGCCTCTTGGACTCTTGAGATATGTATCCCGCGCGCCTTTTGCCATCTATCTTTCCATGATAATTCGACATCTTCTACGCTCCACTCGCCCAGTTGCTCGACATGTGCTTTGATCTCGTGCTGTGCTCCACTTTCCCAACTGGGAGAGCAAACGTCACCGTACTCGCAGGCGCATTTAGTGTTCCATTGCACCTTCTCCATGGAACCCTGTGAACAATTCCACACGGACCATCTCTCCTTCCATGGAGCTGGACCCGCTAGAGACGGTGGGTCCTGCTAACGGAGGATGGAAAATATTCTCTTCCGACAACCTGATTACCTAAGGCATTTACTGCTCTCAGAAAACGTTCGAGCTCAAGCTTGGAGAAGGAAAAGTGGACCAGAGCTTTTCCGGAACGGTGGCCATCACGTGATGTCCGGTCCTGTCGAACGCGTCGACGGTCGTTTGCCTGCTGCGGGTTGCGGCTGACTGACGGACCGACGGAGCCAGCCAGCCAGCCCAGCCAGACGTCCAGCCCTGTCACTCCCAATCCATCTGTGAGCTTCCATAACGACAAGCTTCCATCATCACGACCCAGCCCACCACATCCACCACCACCACCCCCGGCAACCTCAATCATTCTACCTATCACGACCCCGCCCTCGACGACCGATTGATCCCCCCTCACTGGTCCCCGATAAATCCATACCGACGACAGTGACAACAACCAACATCACCACTACTACTTGTCTCCTTCCTCAACCCTCGGGGCATCCATCACGATGGCGCTCGACAGCTACTATCAAAACAAGATCGAGGCGATGAAGCTCGAGATCCTCAAGGGCCAAGCAGTCCTCCGCCGTCTCGAAGCCCAAAGAAACGACTACAACTCCCGCGTGAGGCTGCTGAGGGAAGAGCTTGGTCTGTTGCAGCAGCCTGGTTCCTACGTTGGTGAGGTCGTCAAGGTCATGAGCACGAAGAAGGTCCTGGTCAAGGTGCATCCCGAAGGCAAATACGGTACGTCATTCGCTCACCAGTCCGCCGTGCGATGCAGGTCATCGCATCCCACCCCGACCTCATCTTCACTAGTCTCAATCTTGTCAAAATGGCCAAACTAACCCCTCGCAGTCGTCGACATCTCCGACAATGTCGACATCACAAAGCTCACCGTCGGCAAGCGGGTAACCCTGCTTTCCGACAGCTACAAGCTCGAGAAGATGCTCCCCTCATCCGTCGATCCCCTCGTCTCCCTCATGATGGTCGAGAAGGTCCCCGACAGCACGTACGATATGATTGGTGGTCTGGATCAGCAGATCAAGGAAATCAAGGAGGTCATCGAGCTCGGTCTCAAGCACCCTGAGCTGTTTGAGTCGCTCGGTATCGCACAACCAAAGGGTGTCCTTCTCTACGGTCCCCCCGGTACGGGAAAGACGTTGCTCGCCCGTGCCGTCGCACATCACACCGACTGCAAGTTCATCAGAGTGTCCGGTTCCGAATTGGTGCAAAAGTACATTGGTGAGGGTAGTCGCATGGTCCGCGAGCTCTTCGTCATGGCCCGCGAGCACGCCCCCTCCATCATATTCATGGACGAGATCGACTCCATCGGTTCTTCCCGTGTCGAGGGTTCATCCGGCGGCGACTCCGAAGTCCAGCGCACCATGTTGGAGCTGCTGAACCAGCTGGACGGTTTCGAACCCACCAAGAACATCAAGGTCATCATGGCCACCAACCGTCTCGATATTCTCGACCCCGCCCTGCTGCGTCCCGGACGTATCGATCGAAAGATAGAGTTCCCCCCGCCAAGCGTCGAAGCCCGCGCCGACATTCTCCGCATCCACAGCCGCAAGATGAACCTGACGAGAGGCATCAACCTCACAAAGATTGCCGAGAAGATGAACGGCTGCTCCGGTGCCGAGCTCAAGGGTGTCTGCACAGAGGCCGGCATGTACGCCCTGCGCGAGCGTAGAGTTCACGTCACCCAGGAGGACTTTGAGCTCGCCACCGCCAAGATCCTCAACAAGCACGACGACAAGGAGGTGTCACTCGGCAAGCTCTGGAAGTAAGTGCGTGCGCGGTTGGGGTGTATGCAACGAGAGAGGGAGAAAAAGCAGCAAACGATCGACGACGACATGTTTACTCGGCTGGCGGGAGTTGGACAGGCAGTTAGGCAGGGCAGAAGAAAGGCGGAGAGTGGGAAAGAAGGCGCCGGAGTGGCGGCGGTGGAAACAGCGTCTGCGCCCATTGCGCGCGCACGTGGCGCTTGTACGGCTAATTATGTACGACTACATAGAATCATGGAATCAGCCACCATGACTTTGCACCGTTCATTATATTTCTGTTCTTTGCCCATGGTGGATGGAGGTGGCGGTACTGGCAAACATTGATGCCACGTTCCGACCACAGTGACCTCACCTCGCCGTGACCAACGCACGCCTGCATACTCACAACTCGCAAATCCAAGATGCCCCACCAAATACTGTCAATCATCGCCCATTTTTTGTTGTCCTTACTCCGTACCCCTCGTCTCGCGCCTCTCTGGTAGCATAGATAGTATACCATTGCGAGATAAGCGTAAAAGAGGATATATCCGGTTCTCAGAGGACGAGGTGCAGATCAGAGAAGATACTGTAGAGGCAAGTTCAGAAGACCACTGTCTCCGTCCATTCAAATTGTTCACACGGGACACACATCATCCTCTTCCAATTATCATCATCACCAGACTCAAGGATATGAGGTCAATGGGGGAGCAAGCCGAAAGGCGGGGGAGCCCTCTACTCTCTTCCTCTCTTTCTTTCATTCAAACGCCTTT